CTGGACGCAGTCACCACGGCAGCCCTGGACGCCGCCCTCGTCGGCAAGGCGGACGCCAGCGCACTGGCCGCCCTGCTCTCCACGGTGGACGGGCTGGACATACCACTGGAGGTGGACACCAAGATAGCAAATGCAGTGCTGGGTCTCGCCACCGAGGCCTTCGTCGCAGCGCAGCTTGCTGGCCGGGACGCCAGCATCTCGGCGCTCCAGGGCGCCAAGGCCGACGCGACGCTGCTGGCCTCGTACGCCGCGAACGCCTCGACGCAATCCTCGCGGAGCTCGCCGCCCTGCAGCTTCGCGGAGTTGTTAACGCGCCGGCCTGGGCGGGCTTCACGACTTGGGAGCTCGTTCGCGGAAGCAACGTCGTTCGCCTCTCTCTGCTGCGCTGGCCAACGGCGACGACACGCTGAGCATCACGGCCGACTGCTACTCCGTCGCAGCGGCGGACCTCGGCGCAAGTGGACGCGCTGTTGACTACCGAACGGGGACGGCGCAGGACGCCCAAGCGACCAGCGCAGCCATCTCGGCTGCGCTGCTGGCCTACTACACCTCGGCGCAAGCGGACGCCCTGTTGGCCGACTACCGCACGGCGAGCGCGCAGGACACGCAGACGCAGGCAGCCATCGCGGGGCGCACTGCTGGCCTACCGGACGGGCCCGGCGGCCGCCGACCAGGACACGGCGACGGCCTCGAGCATTGCCGCCGCCCTGCTCAGCTACTACACCATCGCGCAGGTGGACGGCCTCCTGGCCGGCAAGCTCGGGTCTGCGCTTCCTGGACGATGGAGGGGCCGACGAGGTGGTGGCCGCCATCGGTGAGCAGATTCTGGGCCACGGACGTCTCCCTGACAAACTGGTCGGTTCGTCCCAGGAGCCGCAGCGTGGTCCTGGCCACGCACACCGTGGGTGCAGTGAGCGTGGACGGCTACCAGTGAACCCGTGCGCACGACGCCCGGCCAAGAGCTCCTCTTCGCCTGCCGGTATCGGCTCGGCACAGCCTCCAACTTCGTGGTGTACATGTCCGAGGCCGACAACGTCTACGACCCCCTGTACGGCAGCTTCGTGGGTGACCAGGGCGCCTGGAGCACGGCCAAGATGTACTTCACCGTGCCGCTGAACGGGGTCGTCAGGGGCGCCGGGCCTGGCCAACCAAACGGCAGGAACGGTGGACGCGTATACGGCCTCCAGATCCTGGACGCCACCCTGGAGGCCGGCAACTCGACGGAGGTCGAGGCGGACACGACAGCCTCGGCCCTGCTGCTCAAGCACGAGTTTCTCGACGGTGGGGCCGACGGCGTCACGCTGGCCACCCTGGGTGAGGTGCTGTTGGAGCCCACCCTGACCACGCTGGGCAACTTCCTGGTGCGCTCCAACAGCCAGAGCTCCGTAACCTCGGCCAGCTCCCGACGACGCCTCGCGCCATACCCTTCACTGAACTTAGTCAGCAGCAAGCTGTTTGCTGTAACGTCGGTGGACGCATTGCAGATCTTGTGTGGCAGTGGCTCCATACCATACAATGGCCGGATGGCCCCTCGGCTCCACATGATTGGGGTATCAGTTGGTTGGAGCTTCTCTTCAACTTCTATCTGTGTACTGGGCAACGATTTCCGGTCCGGATTGAGACGGTTCAGGGTCGTAAGACGCAGATCCAGCAGTATGTCCCATTTGACTCCACTGAAGCGGTCGCGCGTCCCCTGCTATATCGGGCCTTAGAGGAACAGATTTCCCACTTGCGAATGACCGTGGCGCACCTGCAGAACGTCACTACGTATAATTTGACGCCTGTAGATCTGACACCATCTTCCTTGTCACCCACATCTCTTCGGGTCCTGGGGTTCTACCGTGCTCGCCAAGGATTCGCCGCCCGACCAGGCTTGCGACACGGACAGCGTACGGTTGAATTGGCCCACGCATGCAAGAAGCAGGGATATCCGACTAAATTGACATGCCCCCTGGGCCCTATGACTTGCACTGTGACCGTGACTTTAATGACAAAGACAAGAATCCGCAGAGCCGCAGGGGTATGCGTGACAGGTTACGACGTGCTTTGCTGAAGGCCAGATAGGCCATCAGTTTGTGCCGCATCTCTTCTTGCTCGTGCACGGTGGTGTGATATATTCGGATGCCATCACGGCTCATGTTGAGCTGTACTTTTATAATGGACTCCTTGCTGCATAGCTGTCGGATTTTTGCACATACTTTTCTGGAAGGATGTGTGATGGTCCTATCCAAATTGACCGGATGTGCCTTCACATTTGGACATTTTCCGCCGGAGTGGCGCCTCTTCCGACCCGCCTTTTTGGGGTGGTTTTGTTCCCCCTGTTGCGGTTTTTGGGTTCTTCCTTGTTGACGGCTTTTCGTGCCTCGCGGGGCTTTTCCAATCGGTTGGTGGCTCGTCTTACTCGACCACCCATGTCTCACATATCTTGCGTCATGCTCACGCCACGGCTGGGGCTTGATGCAGCGGCCAAACAGTGCCGCCTAGCAAAAAAGGCAAAAAAGGCAGCGCTGTGCCCTGCGCACGCTTTTCCGTGGCCAGAAGACCTGGCTGCAACAGCGGAGTTTCAGCTCAAACTCCAAGCATCAGGAAAATGGACTGATGCAGAGCCGTTGCGTTGAGGTATCAGCAATGCCCTCGCAATGCCTCTCCCTGTGCTTCGTTCCGCCGCAGGTGCAACCCCGCACTGAAGAGGGGGACTTTACGCCTTGGCCTCAATCGCCTGTTTCCGGGGTTGCCTTGGGAAGCACTGAAGGAGGGGAACATCTCGCCCCTTGTCCTGAATGCACCGCAGTGCCCTAGGAAAGTGCCACCTTCCCAAGCAACCCGGTAAAAAAGGTGTGCGCTTTGTGGTTTGAGGCTAGGAGCAGTGCGCGAGACCTTTAACGCTTGCGCCGTTTCATAAACCGCCCTGCAGACCGCGTGCGCTTGGAAGGGGGCTCACTCTGTGCCCATCGATGCGCCTTGGCGGCCAGAACACCTGGCTGCCGCATCAAAGAGCTTGTCACCAAACTCAGCGCGCTAAAAGAGCGGATTTGAGCATGCAACCATGCATCCCAAGCAGTTTCCGATCAATGTGCGCATTCGCCCTGTCAGGCGCAACCCCTCTCTGAAGGGGGGTTTGGTCGGCTACTGGGGTTGCTTGGAAACACTGAAGAGGGGGACAATGCTCCAGGTGCACCGCGTGCCCTGGAGGCAGTGCTACTTTCAAGCAACCCGTGAGAAAGAAGTGCGCGCCTTTTGGATTTGCGGGGTTCTTTGATGTGAGGGTTGTTTGGGTTCAAGTTAGGAGCAGTGCAACAGGCCTTAACGCTTTGGGTTTTCTTTTCCCTTGTGTTTAGGGCCTGTTGTGAATCTTGTACGCGGTGGCCATTTTGCTCCTAGCCTTGAACTCAAACCGTTTGTTTCGATTGAAACCCACCCTCCCACCCTACTTGGCCTTTCACAAGGCTGGCTCGAGGGCTGCAGACGCTCTGCACCTCAAGCCCAGGCTTGGGCGCGCCTGCCCGGGACAATGCTTCCTCCTGCTCAGGTGCACCGCGTGCCCTGGAGGCAGTGCTACTTTCAAGCAACCCGTGAGAAAGAAGTGCGCGCTTTTTGGATTTGCGGGGTTCTTTGATGTGAGGGTTGTTTGGGTTCAAGCTAGGAGCAGTGCAACAGGCCTTAACGCTTTGGGTTTTCTTTTCCCTTGTGTTTAGGGCCTGTTGTGAATCTCGTACGCGGTGGCCATTTTGCTCCTAGCCTTGAACTCAAACCGTTTGTTTCGATTGAAACCCACCCTCCCACCCTACTTGGCCTTTCACAAGGCTGGCTCGAGGGCTGCAGACGCTCTGCACCTCAAGCCCAGGCTTGGGCGCGCCTGCCCGGGACAATGCTTCCTCCTGCTCAGGTGCACCGCGTGCCCTGGAGGCAGTGCTACTTTCAAGCAACCCGTGAGAAAGAAGTGCGCGCTTTTTGGATTTGCGGGGTTCTTTGATGTGAGGGTTGTTTGGGTTCAAGCTAGGAGCAGTGCAACAGGCCTTAACGCTTTGGGTTTTCTTTTCCCTTGTGTTTAGGGCCTGTTGTGAATCTCGTACGCGGTGGCCATTTTGCTCCTAGCCTTGAACTCAAACCGTTTGTTTCGATTGAAACCCACCCTCCCACCCTACTTGGCCTTTCACAAGGCTGGCTCGAGGGCTGCAGACGCTCTGCACCTCAAGCCCAGGCTTGGGCGCGCCTGCCCGGGACAATGCTTCCTCCTGCTCAGGTGCACCGCGTGCCCTGGAGGCAGTGCTACTTTCAAGCAACCCGTGAGAAAGAAGTGCGCGCTTTTTGGATTTGCGGGGTTCTTTGATGTGAGGGTTGTTTGGGTTCAAGCTAGGAGCAGTGCAACAGGCCTTAACGAACATGCTTTGTTGACCGGGGCTGCCGAACCTCAGGCTTCGCAAAGGGTGCAGAGCGGGAGTTGGACACGCGTTGTCGACTCCTCCGCGCCCCTGAGCCTGTACCTCTGAGCAACGCCTGACAAAAAAGGAGCGCGACCGTCGGCTTTGTCCGCTTCCCCCTTTTTGGGTTTGGCTGTTCCTCCTTTTGGCTTGAAGCAGTGAACTGGATTCTAACCCACATACTTCAAACGATGCAGCAAATCGCGGCAGCGAGAGATGGATAGACAGATGGATATAAAGATAGATAGATAGATCGTGCGGCTGGTATTTTTTGTTTCTTTGTGTTATGGGCTCGGTACGGCCTTTGCAAAAACTTATCGCTTACCAGCCTTGCTCTCGCAAGCCTCGCCCGGTGCGAGTCTAAGACGGTCACAACCGTTTGCAACGCTTTGCAAACCGTCCATTACCGAAGACGGATTCCAAAAACAATTTCCAAAACGACAAATTCCACTCGGAAGACGCATTTTGCCTTGAACGTGAATTCCGAGGACCGCAAGGACGAGAACCCAACAACGCGTTCAGGGCTCTATCTGTCACAGTCCAAAATTGGTTATCGGAATTCAATGCATGCTTGTCCGCAGCGCTGGCTTTTCGGGAAACCCCTCCGATATCTAACCTGGATCGAGTTGGAATTTCCAGCTCTTTGGTAACGAAACTCTTCATGACCGTTTTGCAAGCCTTCGACAACATCTTTGTCCAGCGGCGCTCCGTGGCGTCTTGGCCAAAACTTTGGGCATGGATTGCTGTAAGTGCTTCGCATGGATATCTCAGGTTATGATGCTCTGCGCGGCATACAGCCTGCTGCAAGCTACACCCAAAGATACTGGACTTCTTCCCGCGCTGAATGGTGTGGAACTGTTGCTTGTGCTGACTTTGCCAGCAGCATTGTGGCATTGTTTGCAGATGTGGCAACATCATGAGGAATCTGCAGAATCCCTGTTCCGGGGCGCGATAATTGCAGTCAGGTGGGCAGTTTCTCTCAGTACCATTAGCCATTACCCTGGTTTGCGAGGATCTTTATCATTCCGGCTACCCCACATTCCCAGTAATTATTCGCCTCCCCAAATCAATCGCAAAAATAATCAATCATATGATGAGTCAATAGCCGCAGTGATTGTTGGGACATGTGTTACACGAACAGGCTGGATTAGTTTAGCTGTTTCTCGGAAACAGTGTGAGTTTTGAAAAAGGCCTTGAGCACGTGCTGGGTTCGGAAGGGCATGCGATTGCATTGGCACAACAGTATTGAGGGCTTCGTGAATCCTTGTTGTGCCCACAAAGGTGAAAATAAAAAGGTAACGTGCATTCGATTGTGAGTGCCGGACCTGAATAAGTTGAGCTCATGAGTTGGTCTTAGACTTCGCACAAAGCGCCCAATACCTCATGTTTTCACCCAATTGTTACTGTTTTGCTAATAAGTATTGGCAAGCCCGTCACTTGTGCCGGTCGCCAAGGCTGGAAGGAAGCGAGGAGCTCACACGTGAAAACGTGCTTGCGCACGTGCGCAGCTCCCATGGACCGGCTTTACGCAGGGAGATGGAGATGCCAGAGGTGCCTTGAAATGAAGAAGCTGGTGCCCCCTGTTGGATGTGCGAATCAATTCCGCAGACCTGACTTGTCCGGGGATCTGTTTGTAATCCTGGTTTGGAGCTGGCTATGGGTCAAAATTAGACCACAAGGGGACCGCAGATGTTAGTCCTTTCCATTATCCAGGGCAACCCATTTTGGGGTTATCCTTTTCGGGTACCCATTCTTGACCCACACCCAGCTCACGCGCTGCTGACAAGAGAGTCGCGTGATCAGGAAAGTAGCTGCCTCTTCCACGACTGCCTTGTTCATCGCAACTGACGAATCGCAGCAAAAAGGCTTTACATGAGCATGGCTTGGGTGTGTTGGCATTTGAATACGTATATATGAATATATACACATATACATATATACATACATACATACATACATACACATATATATATATACATTTATGTACACATATATACACATATTATACATATATACATATATACATATATATATATACATATATACATATATACATATATATGTATATATATATACATATATACATATGTACATAGACATATATACCTATATACCCATATACCTATATACATATATGCATGTATACATATATACATTTATACACATATACACATGTACATACTTATACATACATACATATATACATACATACATACATACATACATACATACATACATACATACATACATACATACATACATACATGCATGCATGCATGCATACATACATACATACATACATACATACATACAGATATATATATATATATACATATATATATATATACATTTATACATATAGACATATAGACATATCTACATATCTACTTTCTACATATATACATATATACATATATTATATACATATATACATATATACATATATTACATACGCATATGTCCATATATTCATCCGTCTGCCATTTGCAGAGTTTTGGCCTTAGCCTCGCGGTATGGCTGGCTGGGCGAGGCCCTCACATGCTCTGGAGCATTCGGCGGGGGGCAACATCAAAATGTGAGGTTTTCGGGGACAGTCCCAGGTCAACGCTCCAAGGAGAGGTTCAATGCTCAGAGTGCGCGGCAAGCGCACTGCAATCACATTCTGCCTGCCACTGCTGTGACTAGCATCCGACATTCCGCCACGAGTTTTTTTTTTGGCGAAAGTTGTGTCAGGCGGTGACTCAGGTGGCCAAGCCGTCGAAGGACACTTTTCCTTTTTTCCTTTTTCTCCGATTGGCTTCCTTGCTTCTGTGTGCTGATTTTAAGTCTGCATCCTGGCCTGAGTGGTTTCGTAGCAGACTCCTTAGTGGAGGCACTGTCACCACACCACACGCACCATGTCTTGTGTCTTGTTTCCAGCCCTTTCAGGACAGCGCACTGATTTGTACTTCGCCAGCTTGTCAGGTGCTCAAGTCATATGGCTTATTCATGTTTGGCTGGGCATCAACAAACCACGAGCCTCGTGTCTACTTTGCTATCCTTGGCAGGAATGGCATTGCTTGCATCAGATTGAGGCCCAACAACTGGACAGAGTCTGAGATCAAGGCATGAAACTGAGGGGCATGCGATCTGCACATTCCGTGGCAGTGACTTTGGTTTGAAGCACATCCTCAGGATTTCCACCAAGACTTTGGTGTGCACGCTGGAAGCCCCAGCCCATGAACCTCAAGGCGAAAGGGCCAAAGAAGACCCGCTGAGGAGTCGGAGATCACGGGCTGCAAGCTCCTCCCGCCGCGGCATTCAGGCGGGCCAATGGCAGCTGGCGGTTGGCGGTTGGTGAAGAAAAGGAGAACCCCAAAATGGGACGCTGGTAAATGGAGACATGGACTAAAACCTGGGACGAATGTGGTGAATGCCAGGCATTACTAGCCGAGCTGCCATTGTCAAGTGCCTCCAGCTGCAGGCTTTGGAACTTGATTTGGCAATCAGCACACAAAGGTAGTACTGACAGATTGGCTCCTGCAAAGTGAGTGCCTCTGACAGTAGATCCTTGCCACTTAGCTGCATTGCTGTATGCAGCTCAGACAGGTACGCGTCCCACGCAGCTGCGGAGCGCGCGATGAACCAGTGCCGAGGAGCGTCAGCCTTTTTGTGGGAAGATGTTTGATTGTCGGGCCTTTGAAGACTCTCAAGCCTTTCATTTCGTTGCTTCGAGAATTCTTGGCAGTCAGCTCATTGGCTTTTGCCAGGGGGGCTCATTAACATGGAGGTCCGATACGCGGAGGAGCGTGCTGGCAAGGCCTGGGATCATGGCCAGGTAGCGGGGGTGTCGTTTTGCTTTAGCTTTGCCAGGGAGCGGGCCAGGCGGTCAAGGGCAAGAGCAAGGGAGGCGGGAGCCATGAAACGTTTGGTCGTGATACAATTTTCTGGTAGCTGGCAGGTTCCTTTCCCTACAAGGCAGGTTGAGTTTAGTTTTTGTGGAGCAAAGAGTGGCTCTGGATTGCGCAGGAAGCCGTTCCCGTGGAAGTGGGGCTGAGAGCAGCTGTCTCGGAATGGCGGCGACGTAGTTTGATTGGATCTGTCGCGTCTTGAGGTGCGCAACAGACACAACTCCCAAACCGGCGAGGTGGTTGCAACCAACGGCCGCACGTCAGGGGACCCTGGCGAACTTGGGGCTTGGAGATGCGTCTGTGCGCTGTCCTTGCCATCGCTTAAGTGCAGCTAAAATCTGAGAAGGGGCACCCTGAATGCAAATCTGTGAAGTTGCTGCTGGAGCCTTTTGTGAGGTCAGGGCAAGTGAAGCGCCACGGAACTGAGCCCAAGAGTTGTCGTTGGATCCAATCTCCGTAGGCCTGGCACCTTCAGGGTGCTCATGGATAACGGCCAGGACGGGGCCGGGGGTTTCGTGCTGGAAGCCCCACTCTTTTGCGCCAGGAGTGGGAGTGGGAGACGAAGAGGCCTTTGAGTCAAGCCGAAAGCAAATAAAGAATGAACTGCTCATCTTGCATGATCAGATCCACTTACTATTGTTGCAAATTAATTGGCGAGGTCGCATGGATTGTCATTTTGGCTGCCTTGTTTGAAATCTGCTCAGTGTGAGAATGTGCAGGTTCGTCACTGCAGACGGTTGGGCTCCTCTTCACGATCGTCAGCAGGCAACAGCTAATAATTTGGAAGGATGATTGTTTGCAACTCTGATGCAGTCCGCTGGCACACTGCCTTGAATGTCCAAGCAGGTGCCAGCAACCATCAACATGCGGATCAAGTGTTGGATGCTTTGCTCTCAGTTTTCAGCAGAGGATGTGATGCAAGCTTCCAAACTTGCAGCCCTGCCCGAGGGATAATCGTACTGGGCGAATCGCGTACATCCACAACATCTGGTCGGAATCCTGGACACACTGATCTTTTGTTTTGCCACAAGCATGCGGATGATCCAGTTGCGCCAAGCCAAAGACATCCCACATATTTGTCTCCAGTTTTCAGCTGCCTTTCCTGTGACACTGTGTTCTGCCTGATCTTTATGTCTCTGGAACTCCAGTCTTTTTGAGGTCACACCATGTTGAGGTAAGTTGCGCGATTAGTACCAGCTTCTCTCTCACTCGTTTGGTTGGCTAATGTGGAGGATCACTCCGTGCACAGGGCATTGATATGTGAGTCTTCGGCTTTCAGATTGCCGCGCTGCATAGCTGGGGGGTAAAGTGCGTCTCGCTCTCACTTTGTTTCAGATTGTGTGATCCAGGCAGTTGTGCTCCCATAGCTGTGAAACTGTTTTGATGCAGCGTTTGGGCTGTACTGTGCAAGCTTGAACCGGGCTTTGGAGCAACATCATGGATTATTGATTGCATCAAGTTTCACCGAAAGTTGTGCGTCGGCTGGCCTAAACAGCAATGTCAGTGTTCTTTTTTGCCTCGCCCAGGCCGCAGCGCATATGGGTTGAGTTTGATGATGGCGAGGAGGGCGAGAAAGATGTGACCTGGTTCGTCAGTCGGCTTCTGAGCAACAACAACAGGCGCCTTTCTTCATACCATGTGAATGCTGGGCAAAACTAGCCAGTCATGATGAAGTGCAACGTGCGACCTGAGGTGAGGACACTGAGGACCCGGTTGGTCCTGGCATGACCAGAAGAGAGTGGTCTAGGTCACAGCCACTCTGTCACGTTTTGAGCGAAGCATCACAGCGCACATGGCTGTGGGTCAAAACCAACGGTACCATTTTGGGGTAGGTGCACCACCAATTTAAGTCTATTTTAGTGGAGATTGAGATGTTCACTGGGGGTACAATTTGGATTTTGACCCATGGCCACACGATTTTCTGATTTTCTTCGCATCATTTGCCTCGCTTCTCTTTCCGGACAGCTGTAGGCCCAACAGCATGTTGAACTACCAGCGGGAGGCTGCCCAGGCGCGGAGTGCTCGTGGCTCCTCCTTCTTGGTCCAACTGGGCGGTTTTCCTTTTGGTGGTCCTCAGGTGCCCAAATATAGCAGCTGGCTTGTGCAGGATTACCCAACAGTTTGCTTTTTTGCCCGTTGTTCAGGTGCCCAAATATCAAGGCGGCTACAGCTGGCAGCTGGAAGCTTACCCGTGTCAGAGCGCGAGTTGCGCTCGATGCGTTGCGAGGTGGGGGGATAGGAGGCAAGGCTCCGGCCGGCGGCCTCAGCGACGGCGCTCCATACTCTTCCCTCGTATGGCAAATGAGGGCGTGGGACTGACATCAAATGGGGGCATGCGACATTTTCATTAAGCCGGGTGTGGGATCAGTTAGGGGGTTTATCCAACTTTGTGGTACCAGTTGGCATTTTTTGTTCAAAAGGGTGGGTAGTGTTTGGGGTTCGGCCCTTGGAGATGAAGATGCCAATCTCCATGTTTGAACAGAAAGGCCCATGGCTAAAAGCATCATGATGCCTAGGCTAATGTCTGACAGATCCGCAGACTCTGCGCGGATGACTAGCTTGCCAAAGTTGAGCAGGACTAGTCGAGAAAAGTGCGAGCAGCAAGCACAAGCCAGCCAGTGGCGAAGAATCCTGGGCCATTGGCAGCCCGACTGCCGCTCAATGAATGAGCCCAGCCACCCAGCCCTCTTCCAGCTTCCAGACCTTGCGCTGCCCAAGCTCTGAACGAAGCCTACCCACACTAAACCCACTCTACTTCCAGAAAAGCTAAACCCACCCTAAAGCAAGCCTAAACCGGTGAGACGAATTGGGCAAGTGCGAAGCATTTCGATTGCTAAAGCTATTGACCTTTTTGGATCTTTTCAAATTGCATTGACCACGATGACTTGTAGATCACAGAGACGGCCCAGATGCTTCTTGCATTGGACTACCCTACCCAAATTCATGATAGAGGGTGGGCATGTTTCATATGAAGAACATTAAGTTGACCAAGCCAGTCATTGGGGATGGGTGCCAAGGCGAGGAGACAAGCCGAAGAAGGGATTCCTGGGAGACCGGCAATTGGCGGTCCTCGCAGGCGCCTTTGCGCCTGCAAAGTTAGCCTAGCCCGAAACGGCATATTCGAGATTTAGCATGCTAGTACCGGACCTGGTTGAATGAATTGCCCCGAGTGTTATCCTGGATTTGCCGAACTGCTTTTCCAACCTGGGCTTCTTGCTTGGATTTATTCAGCTCCCTGTACACAAGTGCACACTACTCGTTGCTGAGCCGGTGTTTTCTTTGTGAATGTACTTGAAGTGCGACTAAGTGGCAAACCACAGTTGATAACAGAGCCGTGTTTCTACATGGAGAGGGGGCCTGTGTCTTCATGCTCAGCTTGGTGACTCTTATTTGTGGGCGGTTCTGACATCTTGGAAGACTGCCAAGGAGTCGTGGAATGCCAGGCACTGAGGGCCTTGTTTCACGAGTGGAAGAGAGAGCGTTCTGCGGTTGTGAGTCGGCCAAGGATGGAAAGGGCTATGGACAGGGTGCAGCGAGAAGGTTCGGATCTTGGAAGGGTTGGTGTGAAGAGTGATTTGGTGTTCTGTGTATTGACCATCTCCTTTTCAGGTGTCCCTCTTTGGGCAATCCGAGTCCGGTGTTTGATTCTTCGGTCGCTCTCAGGCGCACGGCCCGAGTTCTGGCACCCAGATGGGCGGTGGGGGGGTGGCCAAGATGTTTGGCTTCTGCGGAGGGCTGTTCGCCTGAGCCTTCACATACTTTTTTTTTGTTTTTGCGGACAACAACCAGCCTTTCCACGCACTTCGGCAAGACAGGAGGCTCCAGACTTTTCACTTGTTCAGTACAGTGCTGCCTGCCCAAAGCGCAATCGCTTGAAGCTTGTCCGATCATGACTTTGAACAATAGGTGAGTAGGGACTTTTGTGAAGCTGAAGGTCTGAAGGTTCTCAGACATGCTGTCAACACAATCTGAAATTGTTTGCTTCGGCTCAGGAAGATGGGGAATCGGCGGAGAAGTTGGAGGAGGAGGCCATCAAGGAGGCAATCTCGGGGGGTGGGGTGGGCAAGTGCGACTTGAGACATGGTTACGAGGATGGATTGATCGGCTTGAGGCAACTATGGATCTTTACCTTGGCGATTTTTTTTCTGGGGCTGCCAGACACGTAAACAACAGCGTTGTATTATCCAGCTGCTTGAGAGCTTTTGAGTCGTGTCCTAGCCTCACAGAAAGGGCACCTGGCTGAGAAGGTCCTAGTTGACAAAGACATATGTGAGGGCAGCATTCTTCACACATCCTTTGAAGCCGGATGAGCTTTTTGTGTTGCATCACAACCATTGCGCGCTGCTTAGCCGAATCGGCTAGGCCATGACAAGCATGCGTGGTTTGCGCATCAGTGGGTAGACTTGTGCCATCATGGTCCGTCAGTCAATCTCTGAAATGCATCGACACCAAAGAGGTTGCACATGTTGCAACAGGCCAATAGACGGCGTTCCAAGGAGCATTCGGTAGCCGGAGTTATTGGCATAGCCTGCTTGACGCTATATCCACACTGAGGCATTTGCGCAGCTTGCCGATGAGAGGCATCGTTTCCGGTCTGCTTTGGATTTCGCAGAGGGGAACTTGCTTGGAGCAGCGACAGCTGCGAAGAGGTGATGCTTGTTCAATGTTCGGATCGGTGCTTCAGTTTTCTTGGAGTCTTTGGAATGCTTGCACGGTGTAACGAAGCAGACCGAAAACGCGAGAGCCAGAGAGAAAGCCAGGCAGTTGGAGGGCACGAGGTGCTTTTCGTTCTGTTTCTAGATTGCCCCCAAGGAAGCAGAGACACCTGGCCGTGTTGCAATTGAACCTTTGCTCCTTGGAAAGGGATAGCAATGATCTCTTCTCAGTGGCCTTGTTTCTGCCTCGCTTTCCACTTCTCGCTCGCAGAAACAACGGCCGGGTTTGGATCATCGACTGGCCCAGCCGCTTTCAGCCACAGTCGGGGTGCCAGGTTGAGGTGCATCATTTCCCGAGAAAACATGTCGGGAACTGGACGAATCGAGTTTTTCTGAAAAACGAAATGCATCCCTGGAAACCTGTCAGAGTTTGTGGATGACCGGGCGGTTGCATTTGGGTCTTTTTTGATGCCCTCTGCATGAGAGCGCAACCTAACGGCTAACGCGTCAAACCATCAGCTGTTCGATCATTCATTGTAGTGAATACTGATGCAAGCGGGAATGGAATAGTCATACTGAGTCATACTGTATTACTGGCTTCGATCGTTGAGGTTCGGCGAGCTGCGGGATTTCCTTTCGCGGCATCCAGACAAGCCACTTGGAGAGTACTCTGTCCCATGTCTTTTGCTTCACCGGACTGTTCTTTGCCTTCCGGGTGTGTGTGGTCATTGTCCTTGTCGTGAAAGCCACACAGTGGCTGTGGGACAAGATGACAGGTTGAAGTATGGGTGTGAGGGGGGGAAATGTCACCTGGTCACCGGCCATTTTGGCTCAAGGTGCCAGGCCCCCTCACATCCCAGTTTGATGTTTTCTTCCGCGGGCCGCTATGTCGCTTTTCCCCGATGGAGCTATTGCTATGCGATGGACATCGTTAAACGAGGTCCTCACCTGGTACAACATAGACCAGGGTGTTTGGCTGGCTTTCGTTGGGCGTGTGGGCGATCCGGGAGATTCGGTTCGTTTGATGGCCGCTCTCCCGGAGACGGCGTTGCTGGAGGGTGTCAATCACGCGGAGTTCTCCGACGGCACGCCCCTGTCTATGATTCAAGCGGCCCATGTTGGGTTGGTTTGGCGGTGCGAATGGCTTTCACTTCTGGTGGTGGTGCGTGGGACGACTGGAGGGACACGGATCCGTGGCAGCCGTTGCAGGCGACCATGGTGGCTGGATCCAGCCAAGGGGTTTCTGGCGGTGGTGGTTCTTTGCCTACACCGACTGGTTCGGGAACGGCAACAGGAAACCACAACGTGAAGGAAAGGACGGTCAAGATGTCGGCTGTGATAGATCAATCAGACGAGGGGGAGTTCATCCCGGTGACCATGGATATGTACGACAGTTGGGTGCAGCGTTACCTGACCATAATGGGCTTCAACCCGCAGGACGAGGAGGATCCCACGTTGGAGCAGTTGACGGCACTCTTCAAAAAGGTTACGGTCCAGGAAAACCCGCCGTTTGTCGACTTCGCTGTTTGGGTCCCCTTTGGGCGAAGGGCTTTGAGGGCAAACAAGTTTCGAACCTGGTTGCCTTCGGGAGATGGGACTTACATCGCCAAGGAACTCCCAAGGCCAGGAAATTTTCAGCAGGGGTTGGCATCTTGGAGAGTGTTTCGTGTGGCCTCCCTGATGTTGGGCATCCTGAGTTTGGCGGTCTTGGAAGGGTACGAGAGGCACGTGGAAAAGCTGGTAAGAATGTATCCCACGGCATGGCATTTGATCGTGGCGGCCGACGAGAAGGCCAGATCCGAGAAGTTGATCAAAATCAAGCAGAAGGTCCTGGTGGATGCCTCCAACGGCAAGAGGCCTCCGGATGGATGGGAGCCCAAAAGTCCGTGGACGGCATGTTTTCGCTTGCTCTTGGAGGACGAGGGTTTTTGGGCTCCTCACGTAAGGCATCCGGCAACTGCTTGGCTGGCGGCGGGAGGTCGAGGGGTGGCCAAGACGCCGGTAGAGGAGTTCACTCAGTTGCATGCCCCAGGGGGCGAAGGCTCTTGGGAAATGCCCACTGTGGTGAACGACCCCAAGAAACGGCAAGCGAACCGGGACCGGAGGGCGGCCAAGAAGAAAAGATTGGGGGAGGAACGAGACGAGGGCAACCGAGGCAAAGGAAACGCAGGCAAAGCCCCCAAAGGTGGTGGAAAGGGTTTGAAGGCCAAGGACAACCAAGGGAACGATCTTTGTTTTGCATGGAACAATGGTCAAAGCCCGTGTGCAGGAATCGAGGCGGGTGGGGAGTGCGCAGGTCACGTCAAGCGGGTGCACAAGTGTCAGATATGTTTGTCACCCTCCCATCCGCAGACTCGTTGCTCTCAGAAGAAGGGGACTTAGGCACAATGGCATCGAGCTCTTCTAGAAGGGCAGGTGGAGTCATGGCAGAGCTCGAGGGCACGGTCGCCATCGGAGAGGGCTTTGAGGTTCGACTTCAAGCTGCACGGGAAGAGGCGAGAAGCATGAGGGAGTACGTGGAAATGAGGCCCTTCAAGTTCTTGCACCATTTTGCAGGAGAAATGGATGGCCTGGCCGAGGAACTCATGACCATGGCTCAGGAGGTCTACATGCGGGTATCGATGGTGAGTGTGGACAGGCTAGGGGGAACGGACCTGTTGGCGGAAGAGCCCTACACCACTCATCTGAGGGGGATGCTGCTGGGGGAGTATGATGCCTACCACTCGGGTTTCCCTTGTTCGTCCTTCTCCAGGTTGAGATGGAAAGAGTCCCCAGGGCTTCCAAAACCCGTTCGTTCCAAGGTCTTCATTTACGGACTTCCTGACAATGACGAACGCCAACAAGCCGAAGCTGACCGAGGAACGTTGATGGCTGTCCGGTCGATCCGAATGGCTAGGGCGATGCAGCTGAGAGCCAAGGCAACAGGGAGTCGACCAATAGCAACGTTGGAAAACCCCCCGGATGGAGGTCACAAGCTCGCGGGCAGCGTTTGGGATCTGCCGGAGATGAAGGAGTTCCTGCTGGAGGAGGGGATCACGGTGGCGGAGTTTAACTCCTGCCGCTACATGCAGGACGAAGAGATGAGATTCTTCAAGCCGCAGGTCTTCGCGGGGAGGTTGGATAACTTGAAGGAGCTCTCTGGAGGTTGCTTGTGCGGGGTCGGCTTCCAACACACGCCGGTGGTTGGCAAGGAGATGTCCTTGAGAGCGGGGGCATACCCCCGGGAGTTATGCAGGAAATACGCGGGGTTGGTGCTGGCGTCATGGATGAGAACGGCCAAAAAGGAGTGGTTGACTTTCAGAGGGATGGAGCTGGTTCAGGAGATAAAGCGCACTTCGGCGAAGATCAAGCCGGCTCCACCAACATCGCGAAGTCCCGAGCTGGCCGCGGGCTCCCAGGAGTTGTTGGACTTGGACCTCAAGTCTGCCCAAGAAGTCGTGGAGATCAAGAAGCGCAAGAAACATTTTGCGGAACTGAGATGGCAGGGCGGATCAGGTCGGCATCAACAATTGAAGGCAGCGGCGGAGCACTCCAAGAAGGCGCGACGGGAGCTGGAGAACCGAGAGGCCATAGGGGGCATGAGGAACCCGGCGACAGCGGTGAGGAGGTTGCCTGCTTTGAGATCGGTCGGCGAAAAGGTGGCCGATATGTTCGACAGCTTCGTGTCGGCCTACCCGGACGCCCTCAGGGTGGCCACCGAGTATGGGTCAGGCGACGCGGTGGGCGACCCGGGGATGGTGGAGGTGTGGCGCGATTGGCTCGTGAAGTTCTTCAACACCCAGATCATGCAGGATGAGGACTTCGAGGAGGGCTTGGGTACGAAGTTCAAGTCCCCGTTGCAGGCTAGCGTGGGCCTATCGGGGGGCGGACCCGGAGGCTTACACGGGACAATGGGTGAGACAAGGAGCTCCGTTGGGAATGAGCGTGGAAATCCCGACGTGCGGCATCTTCCCTTTGGTGAAGGAGGATGACCAAATGAAGATCACCCCTTGGAGGAGTTTGGAGCCGGAAGCGTGGGCGGCTCTCAAGAACTACCCGTCCATGGTGGAGCATGAGGATGCGGCGGCGGAAGAGGTCGACCGCCTGATCAAGAAAGGGTACGCGTGTCGGATCTCTAAGGGGGAGGCGGGCACGTGGCAATCTGGGACCATGAGCAAACTCAGCATCTTGCTCAAGGAGAAGCCCAACGGGGAGGTGAAGAAGAGGTTGATAATTGACTTGCTGCGAAGCGGTGGCAACGACAAGTGCGTCCCCCCCGGAGAGAATAGTGCTTCCTCGTCCTGATGATGTCATCAGAATGGTCAAGGATATGAAGAGCCTGGAACCGAGTTTGCTGCAGAAGTACAAGGAGCTCGGTATGTCCACGGAGGACTGGGGGGCGGAGCTCGTGACGGCGGATTTGTCGGACGCTTACATGCACTACGCGGTCCATGGGGCAGAGTTGAAGCACTGCCTGACGCCGGACGTGATGGAGGATACGTACTTGTGCTTTGTGGCCATGCTGTTCGGGTTTAAAGCGGCCCCTTTAGTAATGGGACGGTTGGCAGCACAGTTGGCCAGGTTCTTGCAGAGCATGTACTCGCCCTCGGAGGTGCAGATGCAGATTTACATGGATGATCCGCTGGCGTGCTTGGTCGGCGGCAAGGCGAGACGTGACCGTAACCTGGCGCTCATGTTGCTGACCATGGGCGCGTTGGGACTAACGTTGGCATGGCACAAAGGACATCGAGCGGATCGCCTGGTGTGGATCGGCGTCACCTTCAGGCTGGACTGGGAGGACGGTTATGTGGTGGTGTCGGTGCCGGAGAAGATGATGAAGGAGATTGAGGCGGCCATCCGGGAGTGGGAGGTCAAGAAGATGGTGGGGCTCAGGCAGCTTCGCACCATCGCAGGGAAGTGCTCCTGGGTGGCCGGCATCCTGAAGAAGGCCAGGTGGATTGTCTCCATCATCTATGCGGTGTTGACCAGTTGCCTGCGAGACGTCGCGGGTGGTACCGAGGAGCAGAGACGGTTGAGAAGGAGTGACCAGAGGCACAAGGAGCATCTGGTCCACACGAAAAGGTTGGAGCTTCCCCGGGTCTGGCTGGAGAAGCTTCTGGAGGGGGTGTCCTTGGCTCCATCCAGGGCGGTACCCCTCAAGAGGTGTGCATCGTGTCGGATGCCTCCCCTATGGGTTTGGGGGCAGTGCTGGCTGTGAAAACCGAGGGGGACCTGTCGCCCCTAGAGGCCATGGGGTTGCCGGTCACGCAAGAGATGGCCGAGGCGCTGCGCTTTGAGTTCGGCACATCAAGGAGCCAAGGAATCGTGGAGGCCCTGGCGGTGGTCATGGCTGTGAAAACTTGGGAGTCGACATTGGCGACGTTGCCGGTGACCTTGAGCGTCAGGTCGGACAGCATGGTGGCCTTGGCGGTGGCCGATAAGTTGGCTAGCAGCGCCCCTGCCCTCAATTTCTTGGGTGCGGAGTTGGCGCTGATCCTGGAAAGGTTGAAGGTCATGGATGTGTCTACCATGCACATCCCCGGCGTCTTGAATTTGATGGCTGATTGGCTCTCTCGCCCACACATGAGAGCCGAGAAGCCCGAGACGCTGGAGAAGGTAAAGATGAGGGCAGCGAAGGAGTTTAAGTTTGAACTCCCCACGCCTGGGAACACCCTGGTTTGTGGGGAGGGCAGCCGTGCGAGGCATGGTTGGACCTCCATTGACGGGCTGGACCAAAGGAAAAAGAGGTGGGGTCCGAGGATCGGATCCGGTCCAGCTCGGCTGGGCTCGATGCAGGGAAGGGGGGCCTCGACCTGAAGGTAAGGGGGTCCGTTGTTTGGATCCGGTTGGGGCCCCGAAGGAAGGACAAACAAGGCGAGGGCCTTGTTTGTGAAGGGAGCGCGAAAGGTCGTGCTCGGAAGGAGGGTTTTAAAGGTAAATAAACGGAGCAAGGTCCCCTCTGTGGTTTAAACGAGTGGGCCTGAACCTTTTGGAGGCGTGGTCCTTAAATGGATCCGGTTCGGGCCCGAAGGAAAGGCACAATTCTAGGCCAGCCCCGGATGTCAGGTGCCGAACCGCATGCAGGACCCGGGCTCGAATGCTAGGGAGGATGGAGGTATCTAGGACATGGGTCGACGCCGACCAAATGCCGCTGGAGGAGATGACATGGCTGGGAAGCGCATATGGTGCCTGGCATGGTTGTCGGTGGTGCACGTGGGCATGGACGTGGTTCTGTGTTGTTGGGGGTGGCGCAGATGTCGCCAACGGGGACGCGAACCTCCGCTTTCGTGCGAACCCGAGGAACCACTCACCCAACGACGTCACAGGACGGGGTCATCTTCCCGCGGACACCTCCATCCAGAGCAGTGGAACGGGGACAGGACGGTTTTCCGGAATTTCAAATCCGTCACCGTCCGCTTCAAGGTCACGATCGCTCCCTGCTGCTGTCCCCCAAGGTCATGTCGCGGCGAGCCAAGTGAGGAAAGCGGGCGACAAGGTCACTTCAAGGCAGATGTGGCGATGGAAACATTCGCCGGGGTGCGATTTGGTGGCTTCGGATGTGATCAAAAAGCTGTGCGGCAACTCGACTAGCTCTACGGCACGAGGGAGATCAGGGCTCAGGTCGACTTCTTCTCGGTCACGTTCGAGTCGGTCGGTAAAGAGACGGTGGCGCTCCTCTTCGTCAAGGTCGTCGGAAGGCTTTCTTAAACCCAGGTCCCCCAAAACCTTAGGTGATGGTCGGCAAGGGGAATGCAGGAGGTTGGGGGGTGGGCCTGGATTTCAACCTTGCAGGGATCTCCCCGTCTTGAAGAATAAGAAGAGGGGGTCGTTCAAGGACGCTATGGAGGTGATGGACGACGCGAAGAACTTGGAATTGGCTGTGGCGGACCTTCGCAAGGGTTTCTCGTCAAGCTCCTCGAGAGCGGCAAAAGCCTCTAGGAGGAAGGAGGTCCTCGCCATGGCAAAGAAGTTCTGTGGCAGCAGACCCATTTTCCCCCTCCAAGAAAACACTGTGGTGAGCGTGGCAGCAGCTTTGTCGACCTCGGGCTTCAGGTCGGTCATGATGTATGTTGCGGAGCTCAAGCAGTTGCATGTGGAGAAGAAGTTCCCCGCTCACGGACATCAAAAGGTCGGCAACCAGAGGTCTAGGGCCCCCGAATAGAGCCCCGCTCATCGACGTGAAGGCGGTGAAGAGCCACTTCGGGTTCGTGGACGACAGGGAGGTGGCGTTGAAGAATCCAGCGGAGGTGCTCATGGTGGCCATGAAGTGGTTGCTGAGGGAAGTGGAGGTAGCTGCTTTGACACTGGGGAACGCAGTAGTGGACTTGGAAGCTGGCACCGCAACTTTGTTCTTGCCCGTGTCCAAGACTGACGCAGGTGGCTCGGGTGTGGCAAGGACTCTCAAGTGCTCTTGTGGTCGTGGTGCCCCGGTTCACACACTCGAGACCCTGGTGCGCACTGGCGAGGTTCTCTTCAAGGTTGACCGCCGGAGCAAAGAAGCTTGGGACATCCCGTTGTGCTGCAATCAGGACCTGGTCACGCCGTCCAAGAACCAGGTCGTTGAGGCCTTGTCATTCCTGGGCAGATGGAAGTCGGGCGTGGTCTTGAACTACGCGGAGGAGGCGTTGCAGGAGGTGCCCATCGAAACTCACTTGCCCATTCAGCCGGAAGAAGTGGTGGTCAACTACGAGAAGGAGGAAGTCAAAGAGGTGGTCACCGTGAAGGATCCACAAGAGTTGAAGCCCAAGTGGATCAAGAGAAGAGTAGCGGGCGCAGTGGTGCACAAGGTGGGTACCATCTCCGTGAGGATCCCGTCGACTGCATGGCAAACTGTGTGCGGGTGGCGGTTTAATCAGGTTGAGTTTTCAATCGTAGAGGACCCCACCAAGGAGTTCAGGATGTGCGCGAAGTGCGTGAAGATCCTGAAGAATTGGACGGAGTAGGTCGCGGAGTGCCAGATGGGGAAGGTTTGGCGACCACTTTGCAGGGGGCTAAGGAGCTGAGCCTGGAAGTGAATGTCAAGACAAGGCCTCCATGTGGGGTTTTCCACATGGAGGATGCACGCCAAAAGAAAACAGAGCGCTTGCAGCTTGGAGGGTGGGTGGGTCAGAAACGACTCACCTGGAAGCTTGTCGTGAAAGCCACACAGTGGCTGTGGGACAAGATGACAGGTTGAAGTATGGGTGTGAGGGGGGGAAATGTCACCTGGTCACCGGCCATTTTGGCTCAAGGTGCCAGGCCCCCTCACATCCCAGTTTGATGTTTTCCCACCCACCCACCCAGCGGTACAGTTGCTGAGTACAGGAAGGGGAAGGTTTGGCGACCACTTTGCAGGGGGCTAAGGAGCTGAGCCTGGAAGTGAATGTCAAGACAAGGCCTCCATGTGGGGTTTTCCACATGGAGGATGCACGCCAAAAGAAAACAGAGCGCTTGCAGCTTGGAGGGTGGGTGGGTCAGAAACGACTCACCTGGAAGCTTGTCCAGAAGTCTGTGGCCTGCCCTCGAGCTTGGGTTTCTCGGCTGTTCTGCGCTGGCTTGTCTTTCTTGGCTTCTTCGCTTTCTCTTCTTTTGTTTGTTTGTGGCTTGCGCATAATGATGCAACCATGATTCGGATCCGAATCCAAGTCGCGGCAAGCGTCCAAATCACCGCAAACGACGGTCTCAGCAACCACAGCCTAGCCCAGCTTGATGCAAGCGATTGACGCTCGCCCCACCCCTCATTCCATGATCCTTGTACTTTTGGCTGCTTCATGTTTGCCATTCTTGTTGATGAGAGGGGGGCCGCGAACTCGCTCCAAAACTGGCTGAAGGCCATCACTGCTTCCGTCCAAAGCCTATCCTTAGTCTACAGCTGCGAGTTGTGAGATTCATCCAGTTTGTTGCCACGCCTCACCACAGCATTTTATTTTATGAGCTACGAGTGCTGAAAGACGTGCAGCACTTGTAGGTTTTCCTGTAGGCGATCCGTTTTCGCCAAACACTGCAGACAACAACAAACCACAGACTCAACCATTAACTACCGCCAGCACAATTCTGGCAAAGCAGGATGGCTAGAGAATAGGGAGCTGTGAGAACGCTCGGGATATCACAAGACATGCCAATTGGCCTCCAAACTCACAGCCACTGGACATGGCTTGCGACAAGCGATTTGTGCTGAGTTGTTCAGCCTCTTGTTCGGGCGGGGTAATGGCCTCTTGTGAATCCGAGTCATTGCAGAGATCCGAGGTTTACCGTCATTCCTCAAGTTGGCCGCAGGCTGCGAGTTTATTTTTTGCTCCGGCACAAATGTGTTGCAGACTCAACTTTGCTTGAGAAGCTACGGTGGATGCCTTGAATACTGCAAGTAAGGGAAGGAGGAAAGCCTCCAATTTGCAGCACATGTTCGGCGCATCCACCGTAGCGCTTGAGGTGCCGGCAAATACTGCTAGTGACATGGGGCATGCTTGTGGCATGCTCGTTGCCCGCATATGGCATTAGCCGTACAGGTATACCGTGGCCTTGGCCGGTCAAGAGCCGCCTGCAGATGCGCCGCGTCAGGCGCAAGACCGTATCTCACGCGGGAAGGAAGTAGATTCAGCCGGAGGGTACGGAGTTAGCGTTACATTGAGCGAGTCTTCGAGTGTGCGGCTGCTGTTGGGCTGGCTGAATTCTGCTCAAAGCAGTGCCGTATTCTGACACGAGGCATGGAAGGCCAAGAAGCCATCAATGAGCCGGGCTCTTGGGCGCTACACGCTACATTGGCAGCCATCAAGTCGTGTCATGCGGACACACCATTTTGGCATTTTGGGGCACGTGGCAGAGCAACCATTTTGTCGTTGCCTAGATGCCCATCCATGAACCAGCCATCACTTCTCCGCAGAATGGCAGCGGGCCCAGCAGAAGGACGGCGACACAGCAGGAGGCAGGGGGAATTTGGGGCGGAGGAATGCCCAGGCTGCGCGGGGCTGCAACTGGGCGACTTTGATGGACTGAGTTCGTTGCGGACGTTTTTTTTTGTTGGGCGTACAGTTCAATGAGAGGTTTTGACTGATGAGGGCGTTCCCAAGCGCTTGCAGCTATTTTTAGACACGACTCAACCAAAGAATGGTAACAAGCTATCAACTTTGCCAGTCCTTGGATTACATAAGCAGTTCCTGACCTTGCCTTGCCAATATCCATCAGTCATTTGGCTTTGATCAAGAGGGTTTGCCTTTATGCAAGAAACAAGTGGGCATTGTCTACAGCAAGCATAGAGGAGAAGCCACCTCAAGCCATGTCTGAAGCAGGCGCATCGTTTGACAATTCTTCCGCTTACCCGGAGCCGTTGACGACATTTTCGGCCTGGAGCCTGTGCTTCGGTGCCCCATGTGCTGCTGGGAAGCCTTCCAGAACCTCGGCGGCTTCAGCCGCCCCAACCCTGAGCCGAGGAGGTTTGGGCCTGAGGGGCAAAGGCAGGACTGGAGGAGGATCTCAGATGTCATTCGGACACTTGTTCAAAGTGGTATGGGCAGAAGACCAGGATAGCTCGGATTCCATGAGCCTTTGGCTGGGACTTGCGACGAATGCGTGTTTCTTTTGACTGGTTGATTGATTCCCATTTTTTCTGGGCTTTCTGCGCAACATCTCCCATGATGCCAGTGTTTTGCGTTTTGCATACAAGGCTCGGCAGAATCAGAGTCACCAATTGGGGGGTGGTCAAAATGAGGGGCCCCTTTAAACGGCACAAGGCGGCACCAGGGTCCAACAAGTGGCCATATTTTTGACACCCCCAATTGTGTCAGAAGTGTAGACGCCTTAGACCGACGGTGCAGCCTCCAAGGGCGCGCATCAGCAGACTCATTTCCACTCTTTACAGGATCTGGTGTCTGCTGTTTTGCATGTGGCAGGAACCTGTGCCAGCAACAAGCCATTGAGAGAAGCATGAGACAAGATGCTGGGATTCTGCGCCTTCCTGCTTGAAGGGCGGATGCCAATGTCAAGGAGACAGCTTTGTCTCATGGGTCCGGCCCCCACTTGGCCGCTCCAAAGAGGCCGACGCGACTGAGTCCGGCCGTATTCTTCATCTGCGGTGTTACCACTGCCCACCGAAGCAAAGGCGAACCCCCACTAGACCCGTGGTTCTTGTAAAGGGTAGATGGGAAACCAATTAGAGGGACCCTGGGTCATAATCCGAACCTACTAAAACGGCTCTGAACCCCCGGCTGTGTCGCCGGTTCCCGAGGCAGGTGTTGGTGCGGCTGCTGCAGCTCAGCGGGGAGGAGCTGCTGAAGCCCTTCGTGGTGGACCCTGACTGCACCGTCGAGCTGCTGAAGTGCCTCGACGCGCCAGAAATCAGAAAACATGAAAGCCATGGGAAAGGGAAGCAAAGGGAAGCGTTTTCTTTTTTCCGAATGGGCAGCAGAAGGGTTTTCGTGGGGGTCAGCATGCTGCCGCAAGTGTCTGCACGCGTCCGCGAGTGTTCGCAAGCGGTCGCCAGTGTTCGCAGGTGGCGAAGCCGTGCTGTTGGGGAGGGCTCGGGAAGTGCGATTGGCGTGGCTTGCGGTCGTTTTCGCTGCGCCTTCTCGCAAAACGTGGCTTTTGTGAGGTTGCGCGCTGTTTTGCTCCGCACACGCGGTGCTTACTACGCGTTGGTAGATAAAGAAAGACACACAGAAGCATAGCCAGGTTGATGAAAGAAAGGAAGATAAGTTGGTATGGCTCAAAATTAACAAAAATAAAGAGCTGGGGTTACGCGGGTTTAGTCTTTGGTTCCATTTACCAAGGTGCCATTGTGGTACCACTCTTTTGAGCCACAGACAAGTAGATGTGTACATATACAACTAGCCAACCAACTGGCCAACCAACCAACCAACCAACCAGCCAACCAACCAACCAACCAGCCAACCAGCCAGCCTACCAGCCAACCAACCAACTGACTACCTAACTTCCTAACCAGCTAACTTCCTAACTTCCTAACTAGCTAGCTTCCTAACTAACTAGCCATTAATCTATTGGTTGGTTGGTTGGTTGGTTGGTTGGTTGGTTGGTTGGTTGGTTCGTTCGTTCGTTCGTTCGTTGGTTGGTTGGTTGGCAATTATCATAGATAGATAGATAGGTAGATACATAGGACCCACATAGGGAGACTAGACCGAGTCAAGAAACAAATGACCGTGTCAGGAAACATGAGTCAAGAAATGGACAGGGGCGAGTCAAGAAACAACTGGAGGCAAGTCAAGAATGAAAGTGATAAATATTTAGATCACATCAGCAAACGTGAGTCAGGAAACGCGGAAACGTGAGTCAGAAAACGTGATTCAAAACTGATGTCGTCAGTGCTTTTGAATTGGCGGTGATGCTGGGATGCAAGTCTGGTACTGCGTGCTTTGCGCTCTGACGAGTGCTTCGTGCATCGTTCCTTGATATCGTCATGGCTCGGATCAAGGAACAACCTGGCGTGCAAAGCTGTTCGAATCAGGGGAGAGGGGGGGCATGTTTAAAGTTTTTAGGGCTCAGGCTTAGGGTTCTCAGGGTTTAGGTTTAGGGTTCTGAAGGTCAGGTTTAGGTGTTTAGGGGATAGGGTTTAGGTTTAGTTTCTCAGCGTCTACAAGGAAGCGGGGGGTTGGGGGGGGCTGTCCCCCCTCAGTAGAACAACAAATCAAGACACTAATGGAACAATGTGCGTGATTGCACAACAGAATCGCAAAGTCGCACAACGGCCCGAAAAAGAAGCGGGGGGGTTGGGGGGGGAGCAGCCCCTCCATTAGAACAACAAACGTTCAAAGAAGCTTTTACATCGCGCGAATTTAACAACGAGAACCACGAAGCCGAACAATGGCCCTGTTCCTGTCGTTTCGGCGTCGTTTCCTGGTCACCAAACCTTGTTCACTTGACCCGAAACTTTTGAGAGGGCCCCGGCACGCTGTTCCTGTCGTTTCCGGGGTCGTTTCCTGACTTACGATAGTCGTTTCCTGACTCACGAAACCTTATTCACTTGACTCCAAACCTTTCACAACTCTCCAACACGCTGTTCCTGCTGTTTCCGGGGCCGTTTCCTGACTCACCTCCATATTTCTTGACACGACTCAACCTGTTTCCTGACTTGGACCCACCCGTTTCCTGACTTCGTCCAACCCGTTTCCTGACTCTGTTTCCTGACTCGCCCCTCACCCCATAGATAGGTGGATAGGTGGACAGATAGATATATAGAGACAGACAGACAGACAGACAGATAGATAGATACAAAGATAGATACATAGATGAGATTGATGGATCCGGAGGTGAGAGATAGATAGATGAATGCATGGATAGATAGGTAGAGGGTAGATAGATCGACAGACAAAATAAGCGGACAGACGAGATTGATAGGTGAGATTTTGGATGAATGGAAAAGAGATAAACATAGATATGCAGATTGGTAGGTAGATAGACAGCTAACCCGATCGGCAGGTAGGCTAGACAGGTAGGTAGATAGACAGACAGGAGAATTAGATTAGGTTAGGTTAGGTTGGTTTAGACGAAACTAGACAAGAGCAGTTGAGATTAGATTAGATGGACAGCTAAACAAGTAGGCGGGTAGGTAGATGAATCGATAAGGGGGATGGATGCACAGATGCGTAGATTGACAGATGGGTGGACAAATAGACATACTGTGGATGGACCAAATCCATTTCGCACCACTTTGAAACCATGGCTGAAACCATTGTTTGTTGGTGTTTACGTTGGGGAATCCTCAGAAACTAACGGTTTCTGAACGGTGCGATTGAACTGGAGGCACGCGTCACCATCCACAGATCAGTCTGGTTTTATTGTGTCAGGCGGGCTTTCAGGAGGCCACAAGTTGAGAGTCCGCTTGGCTCGGCTTCTGTTTTTTTTGTTGGAATGGGGGCGGCTCCGTATGGATGGCTTGCCCAATCCTCATTTTTACCGGATGATCTCACCATGTTCTGGAGCACTTGGACCGAGCTTGGGTTGCCCATGCGCATTTTTTACACTCGAGGCATCGTATCCAGAGCCTCACTGACATCCCGCAGACGAGGCCTAGACTTTTGATATGTTGCTTTAGACTCGGCCTCTCGTAGATTGCGAGTCTCGTCTCTTCGTCTCCATGGGTCATGGCCACAACTTTGCCACTGAAGTCCTGGATGAGAGGTTTTTTTCTTGTCTCGCGGGCTGTCAGGCTTCTTTTTGGACCCTCCCGAACCACAATGGTGAAGGAACGGACGAAGCTGCCCCTTCAATGGAACGTCCGATTTTTCTGGACCTTGCCCCGGGTGGCGGGTTTCCTGCCGACAGCTCCCATGTCATGTTGCCCCGTGCAGGCAGCACCTGCTTTGCGGTGCTGCGGCGCTCAAGGAAACCGCCTGCCTATCCGAGTTTGCCAGCGATGACGCAGTGGAGCTGCAGTTGATTCAGCTCCCCGGACGTGAAGTCTTGGTATGAGTGGTGTCTTAATCAAGCCGTTTGGTTCACCTCGTTGGGGACTGACTAAACTGGGCATCCATGGCTCGCTTCCCGGGTTGCCCCAAGCTTGTCAACAGTGCAAGACCAAAGAGTTGGACAGTTGGGCCAATCGTTTACCTCATTTGGGCGTGGTTCAAAACCAATGGTACCATTTTGGGATAGGTGCACCACCCATTTTAGAACATATTTTAGTGGTGATTGGGATGTTCACTGGGGGTACGATTCGTCCCATGGCCATTTGGGACCTGGCATTCGAGGTCTTTCAGGCGTGCCGTCGAAGTGCCGCAGCCGAGCGACGGCTCCGCCGCTCGCCTTCACCCTGGCGGTGTTTTGCCTTTTGGGGCTGGCAGGGAAGGGCTCAAGGGAATGGCTCAGCACATCCCCCCACAAGCTGGAGGGACTCCCATTTCGTTCGAGCAAAGGCAGTAGAATCTCCGAGGTCCTGCGCAAGGCGATCGCCTCTGGGGACATTGATGCCTCCCTGGCGCTTCTCAGCCTGGAGAACCTGCCAGGAGCATGTGGGCTTGGCGTGGGCCTTTTCGGCACAGCTCAGCAGGTGAGCCACAATCAAAACCGATTGGGGTAGATGAAGGCGAGTAAGGGCCAATCCCAGCCATAAATTGCTGCGGATATCCGCCTTCTTAATTCTTTCCGTGGTTCTGGGTTCACCATTTTAGTACCAGATTTTGATTGTGGCTATTGAACTGCAGACCTAAGATGCAAACTTCTGGAAGCACAGTGTTTGCCTGCTGTGAGTGTGGGCACTTTCCGTACAGCGAGCACAGGACTCAATGAGAAGGACGGGGCATTCGGATCCTGGACGTGCGCCTCATTTGTTCAAGCACATGGATTCGGAGGTATTGCGTAAAGGAAGAGCGGTTCTCCGTGAATGAACCCATTTGCTCCGCGCCACGTGTGCCTCATATGGTTTTTGGGTCAAAATACAACCACCAGGAGACCGCAGGGTTTAGTCCATGTTTCCTTTTACCTGGGCAACCCATTGTGGCTACCAAATTTTGACCCGCAGCCATATACCGTCTTTCTGGTTTGCCTAGCCATCCACTTCTCTGGAGGACAACAGCGACTGGACGGTGCTGCACCACGCAGCTTGGGGCGGGCTCAAAGAGGCGCGAGGCTTCGCCAAGGTGCAAAGAGTCCTTGGTTGGACTTGAAACGAGACAAATCTTCCCGAGAATGAGCTCCCTTTTTTTTGGGGGGGTCCCTTTGTTTACCACTAACCAGGCAAAAAATATATATATATATATATATATTTTTGCGGGGTCCGAATTCCAGCCTAGAAATGGTGAGATTCCATGGCAATCTGAATCAAAGTGGGTTTGTCTCAAAATAGGGAACCCACAAAATGCATTGTTTCCTGTCAGATTTGCGTTAAACCAGCTCCCTGATAGTGGTACACAAAAAAAGAGGAGCCACCCATGCCATCTTAGAGCCATGAGAGATTTGCGACAGGTGTGCCAGTGCATCCTGGAGCGTAGCGATTTCATGGAAGCCAACGGCCACGACATCTCTGGCCTTACGGCCGGGGGATGGCGGAGTCTGGGGCGGGTTTTGTGGTTTCGGTTTTGTAGGCTCTAGAGCCTTCAATGGAAAGGTTGGAATTCTCACAGTTGTACTGTGGGCCATGGACTCGCAAGCCGGTAACGGCGGACTCGAAGCGGACGGATGTGAAGTGGAGTGCTGTTGGCTGCTTGGATTAGTTGGAGCTCGATGCGCCATTCGCTTTTGTTCAGGCTCTGCATTGCGCCGCCTGCCGGGGCCACCTGGGCGCCGTGCTGGTGATCGTCGCCAACTGTGCCTTCACCGCCGGGGGCCCCAGGGGCCCCTCATCCGTGGTCACAGGGTTTCCGCCCGCATTCGAAGGCATGGCTCCGTTGCGCGGTTTCCAGGGACGGGGGCTGTTGCTTGGGCCATTTGGGGCCATTGCTTTGGAGCCGTGCCCCCCAATTCGCGGGGGGCAGGAGTTCCGAATCCAAGCATCTCAGGCTGTGAACTCGGCGGATGCGCAGATCGACCGCAATGGCCGCTTAGCGTTGCAGCGATGCGCAGAGAGGCTCCGTACAAATGTTGGGATGTGCCGGATCTTGCAGCTGAGGTGTTGGCTGGAGTGCTCGCGACATTGCCGAGCTTGGGACAAATTGCTGGTTGTGCTGCAGAAGAGGGCACACCATGTACGCGAGGTTGACTCGTGTCTTGTGGTTGACGGATTTGCTTCTCTCGCAAGTGCATGCGCATATACGAGAGAAGCGGGTTGGCGAAGAGGATTTTGCCAAATAACCTTCTGCAAGCCGAGGAGAGGTTTGGCCACACGCAAATCGTGAGCGCCATTGATGACTCTGAGACATTCTGGCATCGTGCCCGTTGATGTGACAGAATTCACTTAAAGTTAAAAGCGTGCTCCCTGTCGCTGCTGTTTTGAACCAGCCTCAACCTTAGGGACATGGGGGTCTCGCGGCGCATTTTCTTCACATTTGAGCTGTGGCGGCGAGTTGCAGAGTTCAAGATGTTCCCTCCTGCATGATTCTGAGCAACCCGGATAGTGGAGCTCATGGATTGAACAACGGATGTAGCAATAGCAATCACACCCTTTTCTATCCTCAGGCGATCATTGCGACACCCCTTTATGCCTGTACGAGCGGAGCAAACTCACGCTGTCACCAGTGGATCACGCGCACACATGCCATTTGGGACTGGCGAATGCTGGCATACCAACCGCGGCTACGTAACGTTTGTGTCAGCTGTTTTCTACCCTCGAAGATGAGGTACAGTCCAAACCAGATCAAGGTTAAGGGACAATCGCAGCCATGAACCGGTGCAGCCGCCCTCTTAATGCCTTGCATAGTTCTGGGTAGACTATTGTAATACCAGGTTTTCATTGTGACTGCATGGCTTTGTCTAGCATAAGTTGGACATGGACCGCAAGTGCACAATACACCATTGCCAGCCAGGGGGACATACCTCCGAGCAGTCCCGAACAAGGCCTATCGGGCGGGGAGCAATGATTTGAAGGTACCAGTGTAATTACACCTTTGAAGGGACCAACCTTTCATTCGCATCCAAGCCTTACCAGCCTTTGGATGGTCACCCTGAGACATTGGGCGTGCAGGCTTCGAGGGCAAGTTGACACGAGGCGGTTGCACTTCGGTTTCCGCATGGATTGCTGCAGTGATGCGGCAACGTTTCCGCATCCGAAGCGAAAGAGCAACGATTCAGCTTGCCATCATGCTCGCTTTTCCTTTACATGGGTATGGGTCAACATTAAGCCACTAGGGGACCGCAGGTTTTTGTCTTTGGTTCCATTTACCAGGGCAACCCAATTTGGGGTTGTCCTATTCTTGACCCACAGCCATATCTCTGAAACGCTTCCACCGATGCCACCGATGCCACGTGCCCTTCCGCGAGGTCCGCTCGGCGTGGCGACGACGATCCCGACGCCACAGCCTTCGATGCTGACGAGGCGCACGCCCCAAGGGTCCCCAAGGTCCCTTTGAAGGCCCGACAAGATGGGCGCAAACACATTCTCTGGAAACAGAGGCAATACCCCTGCCTAGTCGAAACGCGAATTCAACAATTTTATCACAACTCAGACACACACAGGAGGTCCGCTCACTGGCAAATCGCACTCAACGCTGTGGGAACAATCACATCACATCAGCAACACAAGGAATGCCAAAAAGCAAACATCACGAGGAGCACAGGCCAAAAAGACAGCTTGAGAACCTTATGATAAAACCCCAGTCAACAGCCAGATCATCTTCCTAGAGGGAGTCCCTCAAAAAGTAGATCCCCTGTTTGCCAGCTGACAACCTCCACGGCCCCGGCACTTGCATCTCCCTCTGGCTCTAGGTCCTGTCAAGAAAGGTGTCGGCCACACATCATCTGTAGGTCCATCTAGAACGAGAGACCCAACGTATCTTGATCTTGGATCTATATAGAAACCCGCCCAAAGATGGCGGCAGCTTTTGGGCATGTTAGGTGTTGCATTTGTCCGTGTTACTCTTTTTCCTTTCAGACACTACCAGAGGTTGCAACCACCCTGTTGTCCGTGTGTGCATATGCGGGTGGGAGAGAGTAAAGATAGTAAAGCCCAAAAGGCTGCAAGATTTGATCTCGGCAACAGAGCTCACTCAACACACCCTGCATAGTCATCCACATTGGGATCCTCACCCGCTCCACGCTTCAGGGTCCGTTGTGCCGATTTGACTCGAGCGACGCTTGGTCAGGACGAGGCCATCGAGATGTAGGCCTTGGTCTCGGATTGCAGTCCGGCATTGCCACCTCAGGCCTTGCAAGAGTTTCTCGCAAGCTTTGATTTCCATGGACAGACGTTTCCAAAGGTTTCAGAAGGTATGACCTCCGTTCTCCCCGGAAGTCTTCCGAAAGCCTTCGTGCTCAAAGCTGAGAGTGAACCAGCGACGTCAGGCGACACGTTGCCCAGGCCTTCGCGCGAAGCGCCTAGAGAGCCGGCCATGCCGAGCTCAGTCAAAGGATCGAGCGAGGTGTTCGACGCCAAGCATAATTATGCTGTGGATGGACGAAATCCATTTCGCACCACCTGAAAAAGCATGGGACACCATTGTTTGTTTGTATGTACAGGGGAATCATCATTCAAGGAATTCTTAGGTGGTGCAGGATTTCGTCCATCCACAGTAGGGACAAGGCTGGGGCAAGTCTTGCGGCACCAGGCATGGAGTTGGGGTGTGGAGTTGTTGTGAACTTGGGGTGGGGTTGAGTTGGGGTTTGGGTGGGGTTGAGGTGGAGGCTTAAGGTGCGTTGGAGAGGGTGGGGTGAGTGCCTTGGGATGGGGGTTGGAGTTGTGGAAGTTGCGGTTGGAGTTGGGCGGGGTGAGGTTGGGGGGGAACTAGAAGATGGTTCGAATGTGATGGCACTGGGGTGGGGTTTGGGGTGGAGTGGACATGCAGTTTGTATTGATGACTGAGCATGATGCACTGGTTTTCGTCGCCAGAACCCCGGATGTGGCTCAGACCCGTAGGGCTGGCCCCCATGGGCTGGGACCGAGGCCGGGTTGATCAAGGCATTGGGCAGATGCATTAGGCAGCTTGAAGCCAAGGACAAACTGGTCGACCATCAGGGGGGGTACCTTCGACGACCAAATTCAATAACAGCGACAAACAAAAACCTAACAACGGTTAAGAAGTTAGGGCTAATAGGTCGACCACGAAAACAAACTGAAGGCCGCTGCCGCGTGTCATGCGTGGCTTGACAAATCCAAAGCCCCTTACAGCCTGGCGTTCAAGTCAACCCTTTGCAGAGCGAGCCCTCGCGGAAACCTCTCATTTGTGCCCAAGGGTGATGTCTATTCGGCCATTTGTTCTAGCTGATTTGCCACCAAGGGCAATGGAGATTTGTCGAACTGCTCCCTTGAGCAAAGTCCAGCTTGAGGCGTGTGATCGATGAGGTTATGGAAGGCGACGGGAGCGAAGTCTTGGCCACATTCTGGTCCCCGATTTTGGGCTTCAGTCCATCACTTTTGGGGTGTTGTCAGAATTGCCAAGCACTTTCCTGCCTGACAGCAGTCGACCAAGCATTCTGCAGTGTGAGGACTGACTGAGTACCGAGCCAATGTACAGTCGCATGATATTCGATGTTGGCAGCCAACACTGCAGCCAAGCTAAATCACCGGCACTGCCAAGTGGAAGCCTAGGGGACAGTTGGGTATGGGTCAAAATTAAACCACCAGGGGACCGCAGGTTTTAGTCTTTGGTTCTATCTACCAGGGCAACCCGTTTTGGTACCTGTTTTTGACCCACAGCCAGTTGACTCAAGGAAGTCAGACCAGTGCGCTTGGATTCCTTCAGGGCCTGGCCCTGAGCCTCCTGGCCCCTTGCCTGGCGGAAGACTTCCTCCGCCGCCTCGGCCGGGAGCTCAGCGATAAAACCCTCTGCATCCATCCATCCCGTATGCCATCTGGCTGTGGTTGTCAGAAATCGGACAACCCTAAAATGGGTTGCCCTGGTAAATGGAACCAAGGACTAAAACCTGTGGTCCCCTAGTGGTTGAATTTCGACCTCTACAAATCTCGCGTCCATTCGTGCAGGCCATGCATCCATGAATCATTCAAAGAAGCCAACCCCCACGCACAGTATTTGTGCTTCGCTGGTATCGCGATGAAAGCAAACACAGAACACATGTTTACGAATGCGTCCGCGCATTCGTAAGTACGTACAAACTTGCATTGTTGCAGCTTTGCTCACCGGTTGACAGCCAGCAACGATTTTAGTTCTGGCCGCTCATTGCCTACAATTCCTTCCTGCACCAAAATGCTTCTGGTTTTTCAAGTTGATTGGGCAGACTGCTATTTCTGTAGATCACGGAAAGGAATCACCTTTCGGCTAAATACCGGTGGCATTGTAATGCGCCTTGTCAGTGCAATCGGAGAAGTCTGAGGCGACAACTTCACTGATGGCAACCTCACGAACACCACAAGCACTGATACCACCACGCTTTCCACAACAGTTGCTGCTGTCACCACCGTTGGCGGAAATGTAGCCACGACTCTGACAGCCACGACCACAACGATGCCGCGAGATGCAGCACGGCAACATGATACTGTGGGTGGACAAAATCTTGCACCACCCAAGACACCCTCGAATGATGATTTTCTTTTGTAAGTACCAACGAAAGCAATGGTTGCAACCATGGTTTCCTTGCGTGGTGCGAATGGATTTCGTCCGCAGTCGCATCTCGTTTGTTTGGGCGATCCGGGCCCTGGCTGTCTCAGGCACTGAGCCCGACGACGCTGGTCATCATCTTTGTGTTTCTGGGTGTGATCATTCTGAGCCTTTTGGGCTTGGCCATTTACGGCGTGATGGTCTGGATGCAGCAATCCGCCAGGGACAACATCAAGCTGGTGAAGCAGGCCAGGGATTTCGGGACCCACACAGAGACCAGTGGCCTGGGGAGAGTTTTCTTAGCCGACCAATGTATGCAGATCCGCATGATGAAGCAGGCCCTTTTCAGCGGGGGTTCTTTTTGTTTTTCCCGGGCAGGGTTCGTGTTCTCAGCGCCGGGTTCGGCGCTTGTTTCATGCACCAGAGGTTCCCAGAGTTTGATTTGAGGTGGACTCAGAAGCCGCAGACTTCGAAGCGAACCTCACCAGCCTTGCGAGCCATGTGCAGCGCTTCAACCACCGCTGGGCACCCGGGGCCCGGGTTGGACCGGGCGAGGCATGAGGCCAGAGGCCAGAGGCCAGAGGTTGAGGTCACTGGTTTGCCTAACTGCCCAAAGGGCCTCTTGGCTTGGCTTCTGCCTTATTTGCAGGTTCGAGGTTCAAAGCAGGGGTTCACCTGAACGGGGCCGTCGCTGTGTAGAGTGTTCTTGCCATGCCTCGGGAGCCGAAACCTGAGGCCTCGACCAGGACAAAGCCCTGAAAGAGAAGGTGAGCAAGGATCTCACAGCCTGCTTGACGCGCTGGAAGAGTACTGAGGCTTGACCGGATGCCACGTGCTACGTGCACCCATTTGTTTCCACGATGCCACAGCCTTGCTCCTTGGAGACGAACACGTATGGGGTAGCTGAAGTGAAGTAGTCCTTAGCTACAACGAAGGAGACCAAGGTTCAGCGCATTGGAGGTTGTCCCAAAACCCCCAGCGCTCGCTTGGCCAGGCGCAGAGCCGAGACTTCCTGGACATCCAGTACACCCCCTGCCTGCGCGAGCGCCAGGAGCAGCAGCGCCGCAAGGCCGGGAGGGCCTTCCCTTGGGGCCGGAGCGCGCATGCGGTGCGGGGAGCGGGGTGGTGTGGTTTTGGACGGGGGAGAGCAGCGGAGGGCCTATTGGGGCTCGACATGGGAACGTGATGTCGTTCTTCGCTTGGGAACTCACTTCTTTGCATGTTGAGCCGTGAAAGAGTTGCAAGCGCTCTCCGGCCTTCCTCACTCATCACCAGCATCCGACTCAGGATCAGATCCGCCGGCAGAAGAAGATGAAGCGCTTGGAGGCCGCGAAGCAGCAGCAGCAGAAGCAACTCATGACGCAGATCAGCTGCCTGGCACCAACTGTGGGGGAGGGGAGGGGGAGGGGAGACCCCCGTCTATTTTTCTTCTTCTTCTTCAAAGTTTTGGCTGTTTGTTTTCCCAAGCGTGAGGCATGTGATGTTGCCTCGTAGGCTTCATTTGGGCATGACAAGAGTTTGTTTTTGCCGACAGCAACACAGGACGACTTTGTTTGACCTTTAGTATATGATATATTTTGCAACTTGGTAGTGAAGAGTCGTTGACGAAGGTAAGGACGAGATCTTAGATGCTCGGGGGTTCACCATTCTCCACTGTATTTGCTCTCGTCTTGTTTCGGCTGCGTTTGGTGGCGGTTCCTGGGACAAACTGCCCGTGTTGTTGAACAGTGCGAGGCACATTGACTTGCAAACGGAGAACTTTATCAAATTGACAGCAGCAACAACACTTGACCGCCAACGCCTTTCGACCATCGCTTTGCGCTTTTTTTCTTCTTTTTGCGAGCCCGCCGTAGCTGTGAAACAAGTACACAACTTGGCTATCGGCTCTCCAGGACAGAAGCGTGCCGAGCTCGCAAAGGAGGAGAAACAGCGGGTGAAGGAGACAGGACCGACCTGGGCCCATGCATGCTCCTCCATGCCACCAGCAAACTGTTCAAGAGAAGTTCCGCATCAACCCATGCCGCATGGGATCACACTTCTTTGGCTCAGGTGCACGATTTTGTCAGTGCTATTTGAGTCGCCCTCTTGCATGCCATGTGGACGTTTGGGCCATTGCTTCTCTGTGCCGTCATTGCTGCTGGAGAGATCGCGAAGTTGGGAAATGCCAGTGGCAACATCTCTCGCGATGGATTTGTGCCCGCCCTTGCCGACGGTGACAGCCAGGAGAGGGCCGACCGCCGGCGACGCCGGCGCCGCAGGGACGACTACGGCGGCTACGGGGACCTGCCGGACTATGGCGGCTACGGGGCACCCCCGGCGCCCGCGCCACCTCCGCCGTCCCCCGCAGCGGAGTTGAGCCAGCGGTCGACGACCTTCACAACGCGGCACACGGCCACCACGTTGCAAGAAGCACAAGATACTAGCAACCGACTCTTTGGGTCGAGCGCAACCTCCAGAGGGAGAAACTCGGTCTTCGTGGCCCCAAATTCAGAGGCACTGTTTGAGGCAATCAGGCTGCAAGCACTGCAAGACATTGGGCAGGAGCAAGGGGTGAATTACAGACTTCGTGATCAGCAGGACATACGGATCAACGCTGGGATTGCCGGATCAACGCTCTACACATTTTATCCCAACGGCAGATGGGACACCTCGGTCTCTGCAGTGACAATGACCATCGCCTTCCATCAACCAGTAGGGGACCCGCTTGTCATAGATAGTATCGAACATGTGTCGGCAGCCAGCTCGAGTTCGTCGAGCAAGGCCAAGCCGAGTTTGCGAGGTCAAGGTGCTGATAGGGCCTTCAGATCGAGACACTGGACACCTCCCGAGGATGGGAGATTTGTCATTGGAGAGACCCAGAAATCCCATGATTGCAGTTTTGATCCCAACTGTTGCTGTGTCTGGCTCTACGAATACCCGAACTTTGAAGGACGTTCTATTGCTGTGAGCCCGAACAAAGGGATTCCGAACTTGCGCGAGCATGTCCGTTACTTCGATGTGGGATCCATCAAGTTTGTTGGTCGAGAGAACTTGTGCAAATTGGAAGTGTACAACTGGCCGGATTTCAAGCTGATGATTGCTGGATCGTCTGTTGGTCCTACAGATCCTGATGACTTGCCCACTCAGTTCAACAACAACATCATGTCGACGGGTGCATATTGGGAATACGTCAAGACAACTGCAAAGCCCTGGGATTCTTTCCCGATGAACCAAACAGGAAGGTGGGGTTTGGCTGAGAGTGTGAGGGTCTTGTGGAACACGGTGCCGCCTCAGAGGAACGTGGGTTACTGGGAGAGGCGGGCGAGCCTCCGTGATGAGATCTCGTATTCCAACACCACAAGTATCACCAATAGCCATGCCGAGAGCCTCGAGCACGGCCACACAAAAGAAGTCGTGACATCCATCGAAGGCGGTCTTTTCTTCGATGGCGCCGGTGGCTCCGTCTCCTCTTCCTCTACGCTCGCCGAATCTGTGGCCGAGACCATCGAGAAAATGTACGCCAAAGAGACCAGCGTCACTGTGTCACATCAGTGCTCCAAAAAGCTGAGTCCACCGCCGGCTCGATTGCCACTGCAGGGCGCCTTGTGGGAATACCGCGTCCGGACAAAGAAGTGCTCAGATGTGGGCACGAACATCTTTGAGTGCACCTGGATGCTTGGAGGCTTGGCCAAGCCAAAATGTGAACCTTTTGAATGCTACAACAATGAGTGCACGCTTTGCGGGCAGGATGGCCACCCACCCCCGTAGAAACGGTTTGAAGGTGCTGTTCACAAGTGGCAGCGCTCGCTTTGTAAAGATTGCAATCGATTGCAGGCAGTTTGCGGCCACAGCACAGCGCTTTTATGAGTGTAAAGAATTCAACGCTGCAAGCTGCTAGTGAAAAGCATTGCATAGCCTGTATAGCAACAGTATTCTACATTGAAACGTCTAGAAGCGGTCCCGCGCAGAAAAACAACAACAGCTTCTTTGTGATCAGCCTGAGATAGAGACAGAGATGGTGCTGTTCGTGCATGTCGTGGGGGACTTTTTTGATGGCAGGACAGCCAGCGCGGAGCAAAGAGGAGTTGGATGCGTTGGCGGCGCAGATGGTGCGTTCCGGCCAGGCGATGGACGGATTGGCTGGAAACGGCCGCAGAAATGGATGCCCTGCAGCCCGTTCTGATGCCTGACGTTGTGGGCTTGTTCACACGAGTCATGAGATTGTGGCAGTGACTCGCAAGCAAGTTTTTATTTTTTTGCTCCGATCGGAGATTCGACCCTTCGACCCACCCATGCCAGGAAGATTCAGGCCGAGCGGTGCTGGCCGGGCGCCCCAGGGCTCACTGAGTGCGGCGTTCGTTTTCACATTGCCTCTCTTTGACATGCTGAATCTGGGAATGGGTCAAGTTAAACCACCAGCGGACCACAGGTTTTAATCCTCGTGTCCATTTGCAAGGGCGACGTTTTGGGGTTACCCTAGTTTTGATAGCCCAAGCCATCTAAGAAGGTCCATCTTGCCCAGATGTTTGCGCTTGAGTTTCATTTTTTTTTTTTTTTTTTCTGTTTTTCCCCCCCCCCCCCCGTTTTTTTTTTTTGGCAAAACTGGGCTCAAAAACGGCCGCATGGTGCGTGCCATCCGAGGTCATCGGTGCCAGTAGCGCGAACCTGGCTCCTGAGGAGGAGGTGGGCCTGTGCCCAGGGCCGGTGGCGCAAGCCTCAGCGCGCACTGCCAGGGTGGTGGAATCTGTCGCTCATAGGTGTCCTTTTTGGTTGTTTTCGGTTGTTTTGGTAGAAAATTCGATGGCGATTCCTGGTTTAGCTGGTGGTTTAATCGTCTACCAACATCTATTTCCCCTAAAAGGACGCCCTATGCTCTTGCTGTTACTTGGGGGGTTGCCTCTTTGGTGGGTTAGGCCCTGTTTTGTTGTATAGAAGGGGATTCCATGTCCCAGAGTGAGCCACAAAGTGCTGAGGTGACCAGAAATAGCGAGCTGAGATTGCAGCTGAAAAGACGCTCGGCGGCAAGTGGCCTCACTGACGCTCATGTCCTCGTTTGTTCGGAGCCTAGAAGATGCCAGGAAAGATCTTTCAACTCGAAACGCTGCCTTTGGCCAAAAGGAGTCCGACTCCAAAATGTTTGGGGATTTTGTGCCCATGGCGCCCCTTTTGCTTCGGAGTCGCTCGAAAGCCATGGCTTCTGCTCACGGGAGTCGGTTGGGTCATAGGCCTGGAGACGCTGCGCAATGCCCACGCGGCCACCGTGACGGAGCTTAAGGAGCTCAGGGATCAGGCGATGTTCCGGTGGAGCCCGTGGAGCTGTTGAGATGTTTCTTTCCATTGCGGCATCAAAATGGATGGGTGCTTTTGGATGGGCCTCAAGGAAGTGGAACCAAAACACTCGTGAAATCAATCTGCGACATAAGAGCCAGTCCAGCTTTTTCACGGCTTCCACCAACTTGCCGCGCTTGCTCGAACCCCAAGCTGTGGATTTGGGGAGTCCGGAAGATTTGGCCGCTTTCCACACCCTGCCGCCTTGTGCTGCCTTTCAAAAACGAGACCAAAAAGGGCCATAGGTGTCCTTTTTGGATGATTTGCTTGAAAAATAGAGGGCCCTGGTTTACCTGGTGGTTCAATCAACTACCAGGGCCATCTATTGTCCCAAAAAGGACACCTAACTGAATTCTGACGGATGACCTTTTCTCAGCTGGACAGGCCGGCATCACCGGCCTCGAGGAGCGGCGCTGGCGTTCCAAGCTTCAACTGGGTCGGTCCGTTTTTTTAAAGGTTGGACCCCCCAAAAGGGGTGGGTTTTCCCGGCGGCTTCCCTTTTTAAAACCCAGGCAAAAATGAGGGCTTCCCCCCAAAACAACCAGACACACCCGAAATTCTCTCCGTCGTTGTGGAGTCGTTGGCCGCTGAGTTTGCAGCAAAAAATATCTTTGTGAGGACCTCGAGCTGCGCCTGCCCTCCGAAGTCCCGAAGTCGCAGGGCTGGTGGGGCGGCGGGACCCACAACTACCTGGATGATCAGGCCAGAGATAGAGGCAGCTGCAAGCGCTTGACGCGTAGAACTTAGATTCGTTGTTCGCACCTTTAAGAAAGGCGGGTTTTTAGGGATGCGCGAAACTTGAGACTGCTTTGTTTGGATATTGGGGTTTGAAGTCTGCAGAACAGGCACTTTGCCGGTCAGGTCAAAGTCATCAAGTCCTTTGCACATCCGCTCTTGCTGAAGATCCAGGCGGGCCATGAACCGCCGATCCAGAGCAATCTCCGGGCAGCAGGAGCTCTGTAGATGGTGCAAACCACTGTCTGCCTTGATTTCGTAGCTGCACCTTGCTTCTCATTCAGCCCAAGATCACCTTGAGTGACCACGAAAGGCAACCTCTTGACGTGATGCGAATTTTCAGCCGTCTGAGGTGAAATCCCACGGTGTCCTGGGCGTGGCGGAAGGTCAGAGCGAGCTGGCCCCCTTGGCCCCCGTGGAGGAGACGGGTCGGGTTGGTCACGGTCCGCGAGACTTGCGCGGGCGATTTTTGTTTGGATCGCTATTTGTGACAGGGTTGATCAATATTCCTGGCCAAACCAGTGGTGAAAGTCTTTTTATTGGTGGTTTCCATTAGGGTCATACCAGTCATCCCATGTTATTGGCCCTTGTTAACAACCCCCAGACGTAGGCCCTCAAAGTACAAGGGACAGATTTTCCCGTCAACGCCTCTGAGCGCCATCAGGCTGTGGTGGTCGATCCGGCTGGCTTCCCCTTCATTGGCTACCGGAACAGCTGCAGGGGAGCTGGGGGTGCGTCTGGGAGCTTGGGTGAAGCTTTGCTTTGCACTCGTTGATTTGAAGCGCGCTTACCATACGCTGGAATCTCAACGGTACAGCCGTTGATGATCTAGTACTTCAGCTTGCAGGATTTCCTTGGGGCGATTTGAGATCCGACGTGCGCCTCTGAGCACTTTGGATGCCCAGGTCAGGTTCCATCTACAAGTGGCGTGGGTGCCAGGACTATGCTTGATGTGCAATAGGTCCGGGATGTTTCATCTTTGAAAGAATGTTCATCCGAGGAACCAATTCGTCAGGGATATGGAAGGAGACAAGGATGTGGGTGGTTTTCTTTCAGCATACCGCGCTGCCTGGAAATTGGGTTCGCTGCCAGCCCTTCTCCCCCGAACAAAGAGGCAAGGGACATCGCCATCGTGTCTTCCTTTTGCGGCTGAGGTTGAATCTTACAGCAGCCCCTGCAAATGGGCGATTTCCACCAGAGGTGCACTCTGGCGTGTTTGTTGCCCCTCCCAGACCTTCCATAGCACAAATCCTCACTCTCTAAATCGACCAAGGAGCACAGACAAGAGATCCTGCCCCGTCCAAGTTGTAGGGATGCGAGCAGAAACTCAACGTTGCTCCAGCCGTCGTGCAGCAAATGCTTAGCCAGGTGAATCGCCATTTTGCTGCGCAACTTTGGCAGATTATAGTTGGGAAACGTGGGCGCTCCTGGTGGCACATTCGCCTTTCGCTTCTGTTGTGCTGGTTCATCCATGGCACATGCGTGCATCCTTACTCATCGCTCAGTGTTTCTTAGAGGAAAAAGGCACTTTTCCACTGACGCCTGTGGTTTTGCCTTCGGCAGTCGGAGCGCCTCTCGAGGCTCTGTGCAATATTTTGCCCTCCGGAGTGCCAGGACCCGAGAGGCGGAGGCGGAAACGCGCAGCGGCCCCAAGCCGAAAGGCCTTTTGTTCTCTCCACAAGGGGATCTCTGTGCTTGCGCGTCCGCGCAAAACGCTTTTCAGTGCCTGGAACCGGATTTTTTTTTCCCCCACTCGGAAGATCCTAAGCTTTCGCTCACACCAAGTTAGCGTTGCCTGTTACTGAGAGGGGTTCGGATGCCTTTGCAGTCAGTTCTTCTTGTACAAAGGAAGGCGACCAACTGACCAACAGCTAGCTGCCTGAACGCAAATCTTTTTTTGGACACACACACACACACATTTTGTGATGCACAAAGGTGGTGCTTGGCGATACTGCTTTTCCGATTGTGGCTAGTTTCTCGCTGGGGAGTAAGTGTTGATTTCTGGCAGCGTCATCTCCCTCCTGGCGGTGCTTTAGGTGCAAAGCTGCACGCCTACAAGCCCGGGCAAGTGGTCATCCACACCGCCCGCGTCCTGAGAAAGCGCTGCAGAATCTCACAAGCGCCACGGTTGGCGGAAGCGACCACCTGGGTGAAGCAGACAATTGACAAAGCCGAAATGGGGTGAGTTGTGGCATCTATCAACTAGGTAAGGACAAAACCCAGCCTGGGGTGAGTTGTTTTTTGGGCCCAGCGGTTTCTCCGGTCCCACGAGTGGCGCGAGCGAGTGGCGAGCGAGTGGCGCGCTCCGGCTTGATCCGGTTGAGGTGGGCCCGAAGCTCCGGGATCTGCTGCCGGGGGTCCACGGCCTGTCGCGGGCGTACCTGAACGTGCTCACAGAGTACTGCCAGGCCTCGCCGAAGAGAGGGGAGGCGGCGGACGACCCCAGTGGCTGCGGTCGAAATAGGAGAGCCCCAAAAGGGACGACTTTTCCCTGGTAAGTGGAGCCAGGGGCTCGATGGAAAACCTGCGGCCCGAGTCCTGGTGGTTTAATTTTGATCCATGCCCAACTCGGCTGCCAGAAGGTAGGCGCCAGAGTTCTTTGAGCATGGAGGGACTGTCGACCCAGGTTCCGCTTTTTGACTGCCCCAAGGCAGACTTAAACCCAGGGGTGGTCAAAAGGCAAACGCCTGGGCTTAAGTCTCCCAAAGTGGTCAAAAATGGAACCCTGCTGTCGACTGTCCGGAGAGATGCGAGTTGTGTGTAGCAATCTGCAGGCGATCCTGCAGGAAGAGGCCCGAGAAACCAAACATGTGCATGTGACGCGCATGTTTGGATTTACCTTGTTCAGAGCAGCCTTCCGCTTTGCAGGCCGCTCCACCAGCGGGTGCAGATCCGGCCTTGGTCATTTCATACACTTACATTGCATGCAGCATGGATGGTTGAGCGGGGTCGCATGCTGCAATATGCATGGAGCCATATGTGACGTCTAGGCTCCACATCCCAGGGATCGTTTCCTTTTGTGATGCCTTGCTCAGATCATTGTGAGGGGATGCATATGTACCCAGCAGGCAGCACAGCAAGGATGCGGAAGGAAGGAAGGAGGGAACGGAAGGAAGGAATGCCAGAGGCTACCCTCCGGAGTGTTCTGTTGGTCGGACTGGAGATCAGCAAGCAGCTGGAACGTTGAAACAATTACACAGTTTACTTGACGTTTGGGGAGTTAAATCACAGGGACGCATTGGTGATGTTTCTGTGTTCTGCCAGTGTTCAGCATGCCGTGCTCCATTGGCACTGCATTGCCTAGGCCAACCCAGCCAAAGGTGCATCAAAGGGTTCGCAAGGCTGGTTCCAGCTTCGCAGAGATTTCCGCCGCCTGTTCCGCAAAGCCTATGTCCCTGAGGAAAACAGTTTTCGAGTGTCTGAAAGGGCACCGCGGCCCGACCTGACTCGCACCTTTGCTTTTGGCTTTGCTCCATCCAGGCCCAACAGAAAAAAAACAAAGTTTCTTCCGCCCTGCAGGCAGTGGCAAAGAGCCAGTGCGCATCCCCCGGGTCTTGCGGCTTTGCCCCATCTCCTCAGGTGGGGAGGGACGGTTCACTGGAGGGCGGGAAGCCACCATTTCCGTGCTCCATTTCGACACATACCCAAGTGTCCCTAGATGGAGCGGTATATAATAAGTTGCCAAGGGTAGGGGTGCTTCACCTTGTGGTTGCCTAGTTGCGGATGAACATTGGCTCGTTTTTTCGACCGTCTCTGCCACATGTGACCCACCAGAAGGTCACTTTAACCCAGGACTTCAGTTGCCACTGTCGCATCCCTAGGTTTTCACCTCTAGGCTTTTCGCTTTACATGATCATTTGCCCTGGCCACCTACTATTGCTTTCTTGGCCTCAAGAGGAACGTTGCACTTGGAGTTGTGGCAGCGATGGTCATCGAATTACGGGGACCATGACACAATGACCGCGCAGGGAAGGAGATTCCCATGGCATGGCCGGGCAATGTGTGCGATACAAAGTTTCACCTGGGCATGGGTCAAAATTAAACCACCAGGGGACCGCAGGTTTGAGTTACCAGGGTTTGCCATTTTGGGGTTACCATGTTTTGACAGCCACAGCCACATGTCCGGCATGGCAAAAGGGCCAAGAGCCATGGCACTGTCCAGGGATCTTCTGCGAAGATCACAGGCTGCAGCCCCACATGGCCAGGGGCCGAGGATCGCGCATGATTTTTTTTTTTTTTTTTTTTTTTTTTTTTTGCGAAGCCCGTCCGAATCAAAAGAATTGCGCAGGGCGTTAGCGTTCTGTTTTCCTTTTGTTATTTCTAAATATCTTTTTCTTTTTTGCATGTCGAGAAACGTTGTCCTCGAGTTGGGACTCGATCCAGCAAATGCGATTGTCCACTGTTATTTGGCTTAGAAGTAAGCCAAGGGTCAACTGCAGCAGCGTTTCTCTTTTTCGGCGCTTCACCGAGCCCAATTAGGTGACCCTTTGGTGGTTTGGATTGGTGGCTTGGATTTACATTTAAAAGTTTGATGCTTACAACAACCTAAAAACCAATAAACAATGGGCACTGAAACCATGGGCTCCGGGGCCCCCGGCTCCCAAATTCCCGGGACGCTGAGCACCGGCCTCAGGCGGAGGTGACCTGGGCCTCGCTGTCGCTGGCTTTGGCCATGCTGCCCATGGCGCTGCAGGCGCCCGCCTGCGTGGCTCGGTGGGTTGGGTTCAGAGGGAGGGTTTCAAAGTCACAAAGCGGGGGGGGTTCCTCTAAGAATGGGGTTCCTCACAAAGCGGCCTTTAAAAGAAGGGGCTTTTTGTGAGACCGGTTTTCTGGTTCAGTTTGGGAAAGGATCCCTGGAGAGAATCGTTAGGCATTTAGGCATCAGAGCACTTCTCCAGTTTTTTGCATAGCATGCTCACAAAAGGGGAGAGAGAGAGCCTGCTCTTAAGTCCCACTTCTGGGAAGTTTCGGCTTGCAATGGATACCGGGGGATATATTCTTTGCGGTTTTCCTGCATGGGTTGGCTCTCTCGAGCTCCGCAGGATTTGCTGAAGTCCGTGGAGCTGGAGGCGCGGGGGGGGGAGGGGGGGGAGCGGCGGGCGCGCGGGCGAAAGGTTTTGTCTTGCCGGACGAAGCTCGCACAAAATCCTCTGGCGCAGAGGTGGGACATTTTTGAAGCGGATCGAATGCACAGTTCCACTCAGCGCGTGAGCTGGAGCCGACTAGTCACTTGCGAGTGCAGAAACTGGTCACTTCCAGGAAAGGGGCGATCGGGTACTTGGTAAGCGGTTAGTAAGCCTGGTTATAACCCACTGAACGGAGGCTTGTTTCCCCATCCATGGCTATCACCCACTTACCTGAAGTACCGAACGCAGACTTACAACTTCATATGGGTTGTGGCTCAAAATTAAACAGGACGGGTTACGCAGGTGTTGGTCCATTTTTCCCACTTGCGAGGGTTCCATTTTGGTACCGTTTTTTTTTTTTTTAAGCCACCGCCATATCTTTCGTGGGTAACTGGGTTTTTCCACCCACTCCACTTCCTAAGTCACCGATTGCACGTGGAATCCAAGGGCCCCAGACGCGCCCCAGACGCCCCGGTGGCCAGGTCTGTGTCTTCCAGAGCCGCGAGGTGGCCGCCTACCAGGCGGCATTGGAGCCCAGGAAGGCCATGGCGCGGAGCCCAAATGAGACCTCGGCGGGACGGAAACGAGCGAGCGAGCAGGCGAGGCCCGTAGGGTTTTCGGCAGGCGAGTAGGGCGGCAAAAGAAGCATTTGACGTGGGTTGAATAAAGAAAAGTGACTGGTCAATCTCAAAGCGTGGCTTCAAAGTGGCTTGGAAAAAGAGATAGTGCTCCTGTTTGGAGTGCTGCCAAAAGGCTGGCGTCAAAAATAGGCGTCGATTTTTTGACGCCCAAGATTTCGCGGGCCAGCCTGCAAAAAGCAGGGCAGGACGGAGCACTGTGTCCATAAGCCATTTTGGGGTTACTTTTTCCAGACTGACATGGAAGCTCCCGAACGCACCCCTTTGGAAGACTTGGTTCCATTTACAGGATCGGCCTTCTGGGAGCTTCCATGTTAGTCTGAGGGAGTGTACCAACTACTTTTGACCACCGCAAAGGGGCCACAGGCTCGACCGCTGAGGTCTCTGGCTCTCCGAAGCTTTCCACAGATCGAGGTGCCTCTCTCTGGGCGAAGCAGCGGTGAAGAGGTGTAAACCGCAAGGGAGTCACAGAGACATACGTTCGGTGCTGGCAACTCTGGTAGAAAATATGTTCGGGCCCATTGAGCAAGCAAGCTGCATCCTGTACTACCATTGTGCCAAGGTTTGTATCCACAGTGCAAACCAAGAGTTCCACTTGTGGCTGTGCTCACCCGGCAGGTCGTGTTGCCTCGCGCGGCTCCGGCTCCGGCTTTGACTGGGTCTGGAGCCTGGAATGCACAAAACCTGCAGGTACTGTCCAAAATTCCTTGTCTCTGCAATCAATACTGACATGCTCTCAAGGTCACCTAAAGGGACAAGCTCTTCTTTGATGTTAAGAACCTCCGAGCCCCCATGTTGAGACATGCAACTGCGGAGTTGCGCTGTTTACCCTTGCCAGTGGACGTCAGTGTGAGTGCAGATCCCACTTGGAGTTTACCGATCACACGCCATCCGGCTCTGCAAGGTGCGAAAGCAGCCGGGGCCTTGGAATTGCATCCCTTGGGTTTCCACCCAACAACCGGTTGTCCAATGGGTTTGCCTGAGTACAAATTCTGAATATCGGTTTGCTCGGCCGCCGTGCGTCCATTTCATAGAGGCCGGCACAGTCATGCCCAGTCTTTTTTTGATACGTCTGTGTAGCAATGCGCGCGTGAGAACCCATGTCGCCTCTCTTCTCAATGACACCATTGGAAGTGTCAACACAAGGAAGGTCAACCAAATGGTGTTCGCACGGCCATGCCCTCGAAAGGACATCCAAAACAGTCAACCATTTCAACCCAGCAAGACAAAAAGCGACAAAACCCACTCAATGTCCAAAAGTGGCAAAAACTGCGGAACATGTGTCCGGACTGTCAGAAGAGAAAGCCTGTTTGACAGTTCAAGTTGCGCTGTCGTATACACTGCCCAACCACGTGTCTGGGGTAAAAGCGCTTTTTTTGTGCTTGTGTTCCCTGCTTTGTGGTTTTGCCCATTTGGCTGTGGGTCAAAACCAATGGTACCATTTTGGGGCAGGTGAATTCACCACCCATTTTTCTCTATTTGAGTGGTTGGATTGGGATGTTCACCGGGGGTAATTTCTGTTTGCGCCCATGGCCAAGGAACCAGCCGCAAGACCGCCTGGAGCGGCTGGCGGCATTCATGCTCACGGCACAGGAGAGGGCCGAATGTGGGCTGCACGCTCTGCGCATGTGACGGACATCTCCAGGTGGACCGCGACCTTTTGCTTCCCTTGTAGCTCGCCTACGGGGTCTTTGTGCTTTTGTATTATTTGAAGAAAGGCCCGAATGACAACCGCTTCTTTTCCCGGTCGCTTGTGGATTCCTTGCGGCTTCCTTTTGGCTTGTTTTTATCAAAAGGAGTTTTATCAATCTTGACACACTCCGATGCACTCCCAGATGAGGATTCTCATCCCTGCTTATCCTAAAACAAACTACTATCAAGAAATCGGAGGGCTGGTGCCTACACACAGGGCCGCCGAACAGTGACAGCTAGAGTTCATCCCAAACATGGAGCAGGCGCAGCCCATAGGTGTCCTTTTTGGTAGAAAAATCGGTCCCTGGTTTACCTGGTGGTTTAGTCATTTACCAGGGCCATGTATTTCCCCTAAAAGGACGCCTATGGGCGCAGCCCTCGATCGCACGCTGGAATCGATCAGGCGACCGCCTCTGGCGGCTACGCGCTGGCTGAGAAGAAGCAGCTGCAGCTGCAGCCAATGCAGGGCCCTGAGGGTGCACGCATGTGGCTGTGGTTCAAAACCAGGTGCACCACCCACTTTAGTCGGGATTTTAGTGGGGATTGGGATGTTCACTCGGGGATAACCGGGGTTTTGACCCATGGCCATATCTGTGCCATGCGGCTGAAGATGTCGATTTCAGGCTTTCGGCTTGGCTACAGACAAGGGCCACTTTGCGCAGATTCAGGCTTGATGGCACACGGATTCTGTGCGCCAAGCCGCTTGAAGAAGGACAGAGCTCGTTTGGAGAGAGGAGGGACTTGGAGGAACTCCAGTTCTGTTGGGTTGAACAGCGGGCATGCGTATTTGTATATATGTTTATAATATATATATATATATATATATACACAATTATATATATATATATATATATGTTTATACTATATATATATATGGTGGCTATGCAAGTCGCGGATCTTGTCACGGACTTGGTGCCACTTCAAAGTCGACGGTCAGAAGTGCAAAACAACATCACCAAGGGCCATGTTCGAGCACAGTTTGACTGCAGGAACGGCCTCCAGCGGGATGCCTCTGACCAGCGTCAGCACGGCTGGAAGGGCGTCACCGCCCCGGTCAGCCTCCCCGGCCGCGCCGGTGGCTGGGGCGCCAGTGGCAGCCGCGCCGGCAGGGCCAGCAGGGCCGGCAGGGCCGGCGGCACCGCGGACGCCCTCTCCAGAGGTGAAGGCCGAGCGAGCCCTCAAACCTTTCCCATAATAAAACCACCACACAACCGCATGTTTTAGTCTTTGGTTCCATTTACTCGGGTTCCATTTGGGGTACGCATCTTTGACCCACAGCCAAATGAAGCCTCGATTTGTCAAATCGCGCGTGCAGGCTGGCGTGCCGAAAGTAACCTTCGCTGAGGCACGGCCGGTTTCGGTCGCCCTTGATCTGTGGTAAGATTCTCTGCCAGGGGGGTCTTTTTGCCACCTTTTGTGAGAAAATCGGCGACCCCCTCAAAAAGGAATCCTTCACTACAAGGGGTTCGACCATTTTTCCACCAAAGGTGGCAATTGACCCCCCTGTTCTTTGGTAGGTCTAGTTTTCCATGGTGCGAGGATGGCCTCACCGTTGTGGACGCTGCCGTCAAGGCGCTGGCTGGATGGGACGCGAACCCTTTGGCTAACACAAGAGCGGATTGGGTGTGGGTCAATATTAGAACACCATTTACCAGGATTCCATTTTGGGTACCTATTTTTGACCCGCCATTTGTTCCCGCCCGCGCTCGGCCTCAGGTGCAGAAGGAGGGCCGAAAAGCAGCGGCCGTGAACGCCGCCTCGGCCTACTCTGTGGGCGGCGGAGTCGGGACTCCTGGACCATGGATGCAGCCCCAGTCACCGTACCCCCAGTGAACCTCCCAATCCAACCACTAAAATAGGTTCTAAAATGGGTGGTGTTCCTATCCCGAATTGGTGCCATTGGTTTTGACCCACGTTCGTCCAGGCACAGTTCATTGGCATCGTAGCGAAACCCCGTCTAGTCGAACAGACGCTGTTCTGAAGTCTGTGGTGAATGTGCGCCAGATTCCAGGGTACCGTTTTTTTGTTTACGGTTCATCCGAGTTGGCGTTACTTCAGAGGAGGACCTTGTCGTTCACGGTGTTGGCTCAAGGTGCTGAGCGGTGGCAGGCACGCACTGGAGGAGCGGGTGAGCGGGTGCAAAGTGGGCTTGCGCCGCGGAAAGAATGGTTCAAGTGAGGCAAGAGTGGCCTTTGCAACCTGCTGCTTCGCTACTGGGGTCTCACCTGGGCCAAGCCGGTCCCCCAAGCAAGGCGGGGCTGCAAAGCACTCAGGCCCGCGGAGCTTTGAACTTCACGTTTTTTCGTTGGACCTCCGTGATCCCTTGGTAGCCACTAGACATCGCACCTGAAGCTCTGGGAAGAATGGCCGGACAGTTATTCTTGCTTAAATGTTGCTAGGAATTGCCATGCGCCTTGGGATAAGTTGACAAGGGGTACTTATAGAACCAGGGTGACCCACACCTTGGGAGCTTTGACCATTTGGACGTGGGGAGGCCCCCTACAAAGTCCACAGACAAGGGCAATCATCTTTTTTTGCACCTGGGCGATCCACTGGAAATGATGGAAGGCCTTTGTAACTGTTCATGACCATGGAGTCCGTACTTGTAAGCTGTGCAACCCATGGCTCACAAGGATTGATGCTGCTTTAAACGGTCCAACTTAAAAGGACGCCCCTTGTGAGGCTTGTCCTTTTCTTCGCTTTTTCTTCGCTGGTCTGGGCTTGTTTTCATCCACTATTGGCACCTTTTCATCCTGAGCAAGGCAGGGTCCTTCCCCAAGCAGAACGTTCCCCGGCTGATCAACAAGAATATGTCTCCTTTTTTGTACTGTATCTCCTCAGCTTGTTGAGAGTCAACGGAAACCCGGACGTGGTCAAGGGAGGCTTCTCCTCGGGCCTTTAGTGGTACCTGTTTGCCCTTTATGCGCCTCTTGCTCAAAGTAACATTTGCATTGGTTGTGAAAGGCGTGCCTCTTATTCGCGGGCTCGTCTTCTCTTCGGGTGCGTCAAGCAACACCACCTGGTCCGGTCGGCATGAAGCACCTTCATCACGCACGACTGCGCTGAAGGATCATGTGGTTAGGGAGGTAATCACGTGTTGGGAAGGTCAGTAACAGATCTGCACTCGGTCTGGCCCGAGTCTGGCTACTTGCTAGAAGTGTTTGTTTGTGAGTCGGCAGGGTCAGGCTCTTTGTTTGGAAATCATTTGATGCGGATTTCACTGTCCGGCCCAGAAGAAGACATACACACACTCGTACATAGACACAGAAGAGCTCTGTTTTGGGTGGCCTCAAATGGCCACGGCCATGGGTCAAAACTCCGTACCCCCAGTGAACATTCCAATCCCCACTAAAATAGGTTCTAAAATGGGTGGTGAATTCACCTACCCCAAGTCGCGATGCGAGGAGAGCTGCTGCATGGTGAGCACTTTGTTGGCTTCCCTGCAGAAGGCCCAGTGGGCCGCCGCCTGAGGCGGACGAGTGCGGCTGAGCTTCGTGCGTTGAACGCCCCCGAATGACCAGGTGGTTGTAAGTCAAAACCAATGGTACCATTTTGGGGGTAGGTGAATTCACCACCCATTTTAGAACCTATTTTAGTGGGGATTGGGATGTTCACTGGGGGTACGGGCTTTTGACCCATGGCCATGTGGCAGATATCATCTTTTTTTCGCGGTTTTCTCCGATGGTCATCCCACGTAAAGGACCTTTGATCAAACCCCACATCATTTTGGAGTGATCCGATCGGATCAAAAGCTATCCGAAATGAGGACCAGCTTCAAGCAGAGGACGGGCAGACGTCTCCGATGTTGCGGCAAGGTTCAATTGAAACCTTGGATCCAGGTGTGGAAGCAAGGCAACACATTTGTCGTGACCTGTGACGGGTTGGCTTGTGATCGCTAGTGGAAAGGCAGATGGATCGGTTCGGACACGGCTGCTTGATCCGCAGGAGAAGAAAGACAAACTCAATGACACAGGCGGGTCACGCTGACATGTCGCCCATCCCAGGGAGCCATGGTGCAGTCCCAGAGCAACATGGGGGCCTTTCGTCAAGAGTAGTTTTAGTCGCACACTAGTGGTTTCTCCTTTGGGTTGTGTGACTTGCACGGACGGCCGGCATGAAACATTTCGTTTCTTTGCCCTGCTTGGCACTGCGGCCGCAGCAGTCTGGGTTTCAGAGACACTCTGTGGCAGTCAACTTCTGTCGCAAATGATGTCCTCTGCATGTGAAGGCAGTCCAGAGCATGGCGTTTAGAGGGAACCAACCAGTGGCTGGCCAATTTGCGATTTCCTCGCCCCCCTGCAGGAGGGCGTTGGCGCGAACCAGAGGAGGAACTGGGTCAGTCTTCCGCAAGGAATTCTGCTTTGGCCCTCAAGCAACTGGGGAGGCGGTCTTTTGGAGCCAACAGCCCTCGTCAGATGGGTATGGGTCAAAATTAAACCACCAGGGGACCACAGGTTTTAGTCATTGCTTCCATTTACCAGGGTGCCATTTTGGGGTTGTCCTATTTTTGACCCACAGCCAGATCGTGGTCTAGTGCCGCATCCGTGACACGGGTCTTGCGGGTGAACTGTATTGAGCGCTTGCAGGACTTCCATGCGCACGTGCCGGTGGATGGCTGCATTGTGAGCCCCTTTGTGGAGGCGAGGGAAGCCAAATGGGTATGGGTCAAAATTAAGCCACCAGGGGACCGCAGATTGTAGTCCATGTTCCCATTTACATTTTTGGGTACCTATTTTTGACCCACAGCCAAATTCAGACTTGCTCCTGGGACAGAGAGTCGTTCCCAAATTTGAGACTTCATCTCCTGGGTCACGCCCAACTTCATTTTTTTACTCGGAGTCCTGGGCCCCGACCTGATGTGCAGACTTTCCGTGGGTCACCTCAGGTTTCGGGTTTTGGTTTGCTCGGGCTTCGAGTCGGGCTTCGAAGTTTGGATCTCAGGTCTTCAGGGAAGGCAGCAACGACGGCTATGGCTTCCTGGAGCTTCTTGGCTCGAGCCGACGGAAGTTCGGCTGGCTGTTTGGTTTGTTGCAAGTCAGGCACAACTGGGAGCAAGTGATGAAAAAGAGAAAAATGCTAAACATGGGGTGACCATGAGTGAAACCACCAAGAAAGATTTGGCTTTCAGCACATGTGACAAGTTACGCATGGCCATTTTTTTGGGGGTTCTAACTGGAATATGGCCATGAGTTTAAATATGGGAGCCCCTGGAAGTGGTAAAAAACCACCAAAACAAATGCCCACCAGAGAGTCCCGAATTAAAATTCCTGCCATTGATCAAGCCCCATGGGCCCCATGCCCAGGTCACCGGTGAAGCTTCAGGGCATAGTGAGCCCGGGAACCCAGGCTAGGCTGATCGGGGAATGTCGTTGGGGCGTAGCCTCCAACGACTGCTGAAGTCGGAGTCTCGGTCATGTTCATGACCATAGGTGTCCAATTTTTGGTTGTTTACAACAAAAATAGATGGCCCTGGTGTACCTGGTGGTTTAATCATCTACCAGGGCCATCTATTTCCCCTCAAAGGACACCCATGTTCATGACAAACAGCGGCATTCCTTTTTGTTTTTGGGGGCATGTACTTCTATCATAGCATGTTTCATGCCGAAGCCCAACGCGGCTTTTGGCTCAAGCTTTTCACCTGGCATTCATTGCTCGCCATTTCGTCGGGAAAAGATCACGGCGCACCTTCACACCGGCCTCGTGTTTACGCGGCCGTTGTGCCTGGGGCGGTGTTCTTTGTCCTGGAGGTGGGTCGGGCTATTGTTTGAGGTGCGCTGCTATTGCTTGCTTTGCTCGCTTGGTGCTGCTTGCTGCTGGTTTGCCTGCCTGCTCTGCGCTGTGCTGCGCTTCTGCTTGGTTTCTTCTTGTTACAACGAGGCACCCCTTTTGGTTCGTGTTAGTGCCGGCCGAGGGCAACCGCTTTGCCCTTGGGACCGGGGGGATAAGGTGGTCTCTTCTTGTTGGTGGGTTAGGGCCTGTTTTATCCATCCCGAAACTCTGTTTCAAACCCTTTCGCAGGTTATCAGCCGTAGGATTCGTCCTCGGTTGGCACCGCGAACCCCTTTTTAACAACCCTGCAGGCATCGTAGGGTAGTGTAAATAGTATGGCGGGAATCACTGAGGATGGACCTCATGTGGTGACCGATGAATGGGTTCTCGGCCAGGCCGGAATCTTGGACGTTGTGAATGACGACCAAGTGCCCGGACAGCCGATGTTTTCCGGTCCTGACTTTTTGTCGGACCACACTTTTTCAGAAGCAATGCCTTCAGGAAGGTCCAGTGCTACTCGCACTGATGACTATCGTCTAATGCCTCAAGAGCTAATCGCTCTCAGGGTCATGGGGCTAATCGTCCTGACCATGATGATTTCGTCTCAGGACGTGATGATGACGAGCCCGGTATTGCACCTGGAGCTCAATCCTCATCTTTCCCGGAGCTGATGAATATTGGTCAGTCCGAGTTTCGTGACTCTCAAAGTAGCAGTAGACCTGTGCCAACCAGTAGTATAGCTTTTCAAGTGCTCGGTAATCCCGAACCTGGTACATCCAATGGAGTTGCATTCGATGTTCATCTGCCGACCGAATCCGGTGGGCTCGATTGGAGAGCCTCATGGCCCAACGACGGAAACATTTTTGGTATGGATTATGCCGCATGGATGCCAGGGCCACCCGCCCCGTCATCTTTCCCGCATTTCCAAAGCCCAAAACGAGCTGCTGGAAGTGATGAATTCATGCTACCTTTGTCGATTGAGATTCTCAATCCTGACGTGGCCAGCCGTAACGTTAGGCCAAGGCCGTCGATGAACCCGACCATGAGGAACATGTCCCCTCCTCCAGGACTTTCAGGATTTGAGAGCCCTAGGGAGCGTAATATCGTAGATAGATTGGATTTGCATCCCAGTCCGACCCCGAGCAAGCGATCAAGGTCAAATTCGACTGGATCGCATAGGGCAAGGGGGATGGATCGGGAAACCGCCCACAGGGGTAACCCCAGTGCGCGGGACTCAGGACGCGGTCGATCAGGTGATCCAGCGTCAATCATTGGTAGAGACCCGCTAAACGCGGACACACTCGTTAACGTGCTTGATGGAATCGAAGCATTCCAGGAGGAATTTAATAGGTCAAGTGGCATGAACGCACAAGGTGTTCGCCCTACGCCCAACGCGGCTTCCATTTTCGCCCTAGACGACATGGACGGAGCAAATGTTCCGATAGAATCTGAATCCATGATGGCATCAAGTTCTAGTCGCAATCATACCATCAGTAATGCGACTGATATTGAATCGATGTCTGAGTCTAGAGTGTCCAATGCGACCGACTTGAATGACATTGTTATTGCTGACTCGAGACCTGATGTTCCTATGCGAATGGATAGGCCTGTTGTTCCTAAACTGCCCGTGGCCAAAGGCCTGGGCATGACACAACCCTCTGCGGTTCGTGATGCTAGGAGATCTGCTCCGTATCAGAGTCAATCTCCTAATCGGAGTGAGTTCCCACGGCCATCAACGGCCGTGCAGGATGATTTCAGAACTCCTCCGAGATCTAATCCAATCATGGTTGATCTGTCCACTCCTCGAGATCGCGGGTCAGGATTTGGTCCTACGAATGAGGAGCAACCCAACGAGGTTGCTGATCTTGTAACAGCCCTTGAAAGAGGGAGAGTGGACTCTTCGGTAAGTGCGATCATTCATCGCCTGGTTGCTAAGGTCGAAGACCTTGGGCGTAGGAATGATAGAAGTGATCAATGCATCAAGCAGCTCTCCACTGAGGTTAACTCATGGAGGGCCAAATACGACCAATGCGTCCATGTGAGTAGCACGTGTACGCAGGCTGCGAACGCGGCCATGCAGCTGTCACAAGGGACTAAGGACATCGTGACCGAGCTTGGCCAACGCGTCAAGATCGTTTCCAATCGCATGATGAGCATAGGCGATGCCCTAAATGAGCGAGCCAGCTATGATGATGTTGCTCGCTCCATCACCCAGGTTCAAACTGTTTTTGAATCTCTTTCTGATCGAGTAACCGGGCTTATAGCTCGTGTTGATATGATCGAGAGATCTCTAGTGGAGAGCCAATCCAACCATCCTGCGATTGGTGGAGTAAACCTCAAAATCGAGGACCTGTCCACTAGGGTATGTCAGTTTGATAGGATGATGCAAGATGTCGAACAACGCTGGACCAATAATAGGGACGGCATAAAGTGGGTCAAAGACCAACTTTATGAGACACAGGCCAACCTTGAGATAAAGTCAAGGGACTGCAAATCCTACACGGACAAGCAAAATACTCATAACATGGCCGTTTCGACTACGCTCAACAGTAAGCTCGAGCAAATGCTCGAGGTGCTGGGTAATACGGCCCAGAGAATTAACTCCCTCGAGTCAAGGCACTCGAACCAGGCCTCAAGTAGTGGATTGAACGATCGCACAGGAGGAAGGCGTGCCGCGTCCCGTACTCCGGATAATCGGCCACCTCCACCTGGCCCTCCTGATGATGATCCTCCACCACCTCCTCCTCCAGATTGGCAAAGCCCAGGAGGAGGGGGGAAGAAGAGTGCTGCCGGTGGGAACCCTGGCAACCCTGGTAAACCCAGATGTAAATATGTAGGTGATGGATATAATCATCTCATGGCTGAGTTTCACTGCAAGGGATGCAGAGGTGATATTTGTGAGTATTGTTTCTCGTTTAAAGAGAACCTGTGTGAAGAGTGTTCCCGTAACGGACCCCGATGCGGAGTCTGTAGGGAGAGCTCGTTCCTGACAAAGGGAATTGAGTGTCAGTTTTGTAAGACCTACTACTGCACCAGACATTCTGCTGGGCAGGATGACTACAGGAGATTTGGGTTTGTCCAAGGTCCCTGTTGTCTTGCGTGCCTTAGGGACGAGACTAGGAGAAGAAGGGATCCCGAAGGTAACCGTGTCAGGAACAGATCGCCTGGAGGCGTACCAGAGACGAACCCGACACGGTCGTACTCGCCGCCTCTGCGGCCACCCGTTGACAGATTCCGTGACACTCCAACTGGGGGTCAACCCAACGCGGCTGACCTTCAGAGTCCTCCGAAGGCTACGCAACCCGTACCCCTGGATAAACGTGAAACCGGATATTATCCAGGATTCGATCCCAACGGTGCAAGGCCGAAGGATCCTTCAGGCCTTGAGCCGCCGACCATGCGTGGCCCCGATCCTCCTGACAAGAAATGTCGGATGTGTGATCGGGATATTCCTGATCCCAGTAAAATTGAGGAATGTAAGATATGCATGAAAAGGGCATGTGAGATTTGCATTCCGAAGGCTACACGCCTTTGTCCTGTGTGTGCACTGTCAATCGGTAGCTCTCAGGTTCCACAGCATCTTTTCGGAACTGGTGGCGGCGGGTACAGTAGCCATCATGATCCGAACTGTACAGCTGCGACTAAGTGCATTTCCATAGACCTCCCGCCAGAGCCCGACGCGGCTGGGCTGAGGGTATGGATAGCCAATATGAAGGAAGCTGTTAGCAATGCCTACAGCTATGATGGACTTTACGTCATCAATTGGCTAACTGAAGTCGAGAAGGCAAAGACCTTTGATGAACTGGATGGAGAATGTAAATACCACATCCTTGAAGCCAGGTTCAATGCAGCCATTCGGAAGTGCATCAAGACTGTTGCAATTATCGATAAGATTAATCGTCTTACCGAAGCCGCTCAACGCTCCAACAATCGCATCAAGAGTAGGCAGATCCTGTGGCTCTTATACGACCACTTAAGGACTGCGAATATCGGAGAGCAATCGTTCAGGATAATCGAGCTCTCAAACTTGCGATGCAGTGTGTCATCTTTCTATACTGAAGAGGAGCGACTTGAAAGGTTCATCGCGAAGTGGGATCACATTCTTGCGGGTCTCGATGAACCGCTGACCGAACAGGTAAAGCGGTCGCTATTCAGTGAGAAGGTTAGGCACCTCAACTGTTTGGCTCATGATATCAGGGAATGGGATAGGAACATATCCAACCCTGATGTCTGTAGCTATGAATGGCTTCGTGCTCGTTGCAAGAACGAAATTGACCGCTGGAGGGTTCGTAAGAATCAGGTCAATATGCACAAAGACTTTTACGAACGATCTCAGTCCAGGGAGAGAGCCCAGAAACCTGGTGCTCCTGGTCCTCCCGTTAGGAGACGATCTCCGTTTGGAGACTCCCATAGGCCTAATCGGCCTCCTAGCGATCCAAGGAAGAGGACCGGTAATACCCCAAGTCCTCACCGAAGGGACAGGTACTCTCCCAGGAATCGGGAGCAGGACAAGCGGCGTACACCTAGCCCTAGGGGCGAGCCCCCAAGGAGGCCCAGATCTAC